AGACTAAAACCAGCTATTCTTCAAAAACCAACATCAAAAAGTCCCTCACCCATTTCCTCCACTCACCGTCCCTCCCTCGTGAGCGAGGACTGGGCGTCTTTGAGAAACGGGAAAGCGCCACCTCTTTCTCTCTCTCTATCTCTTCCTTGCCTAGTCCAGTCTGTGAGCACATACAAAGACCACGCAGACACAGAAATGAGGGATAGTGTACGTCTCCTCAATTTCCAACGCTCGTTGCGGCCACCCGACACAATATGCCGAATGGTCGTATAATCTCTCGCAGAGACCCCTTAAAGCGACTTTGCTGAATGCTGTGGTTTCGCGTCAGACTTGAACCGTACGGATTACAAGTAATCAAATTACTTGTAATCGATTACTTTTTGTAGTAATTTTGTAATCAGTTAATTACTTTTATTAGGCAGTAATCACAAGAGTAATGTGATTACTTTTTGAAGTAAAAAAAAAATACTTCTAACCATTACTATTTCCCCACGAATCCCCCCTCCCCCTCCCCCCCCCCCCCCCCCCCCACACACACACCTTTCTTTTCTCAAACGACAAAAATAAAATTTGCCTCCTTTTTCGAACAGAAAAAAAAAAGATTTTTGCGGATTCCTAGGAAAACGAGGCCAACCCCTTTGTATCCATAGTTTCTGTGAAATGTCCGTTTTCTTTTTTTTTTTTAGCTGGGACTGGGATTGCGAAGCCCCAGGGAAGCCCAGTGCGTGACAAAGGCCATTCAGGGCGAAGTTTAAGGGAGCGTAATGTAGCTTTGTAAGTCCTTCGTCCAAACTAGCCCCTCGCACACACAGACAGAAGTAAAAAAAAAACTATCCTGCTTACGGTACTTACTCGCAGTCCATAGGAGAGCCAGAACCGAAGAATGTCTAAAGCGGATGCTAAATATAGCAAAGCCAGTTCAAATACACGTCACGACCCCACTATTGCCCCTATGTGGTCTTTGTGACAAGCAGGGTCTCGATTTTGGAGGTATACTAGTTCATTGTTATGAGCGCTAAAGATGTAAGTCTTCACACAATAAAGTAATTGGAAAGGTAACGGTTACTTCTTAAAGTAATGTCCAATTACTTTTGCTGTCGAGTAATCAAGTAATCTAATCGAATACTTTTTAGCCAAGACTAATAGTAATTGTAATCGATTACTTTTTTTTAGGAAGGTGTACAAGACTGTTTCGCGTAAAGGATTGGCACGGATCCCACAGGCCTCTTAAAAATTTATGGCGGGTCTTTTACACCCTTTAGGAATTGATGAAAATTACTAAATTGCCAGACCCCTCAAATATTTTTAAAAGACGCGTCGAAGTATTAAAAAGAAGCCTTAGTGGGCCTTTAGGCGGATTTTCAATAGAGTATGCCTCCCTGGTGAATGCCTGCTAAATTTTCTGAGTGGATCGCTTCCCTCGGCGTTTTCTTGCATTTCCTTGTATCGAGGAGTGCAGAGTTTCAGTAACTCAACTTTGCATTCCTCCAGATCTGTCTCCAGCAGGAGCCTACATACTGTGCGTGGCAATGAAAAAGTTGAAATGCCGGTCAGCAAGTACATAACATGTCTATTTCTTGTTAAATGTGCTCACTTGTTTACGATAACGAAAGAGGGACATGGAAGACGAACAAACAAGGACAAGGAGAGGGACATGGAAGACTATGAGACAAGGATTGCCTTCCTTGCCCTTCTTTTCTTATTGTAAATTAGAAACCAGCATGCTCAACATCTACATTGCTCACTCGTAAATACAAAACATAAATATGTAATGAACTTACTGCCTAGCAACTTTACTGCGTGCCTTGACGAAAGGATCTTTATTCAATTGATGATTTTTGTTGCCGTAGATGTCAGAGTATGAGTTCTAGACTTTAAAGATATTGTTTCAAAACTAAAAAGTAAACAAACACTGAAGTTTCTTTGTCGTGCACCAAAGTGCTGCTCAAAAGTGAGTGGGCGGTTTATCCTATCTTACTCCTTCATTGTTGAGCCTAGCGGCCGAACTTATGGTGCAATAACGTGGGCACGAGCTTGCACACTATTACATTTTTAGGATATTACGATTAGGAATTTATGTGAAGAATACTCATGGTGGTCACTGGTACGTATGGGCACGAGTCGTTCAACTGAGAACTAAAACAAACATAAAAAGGATAACCAATAATTTTGCTGAATGTGTTATGTTTGCTTCGTCAGTACATGAGTTCATAGTAACAATTTCAGAGCTGCCATTGATGCAAGAACCTCTAAGTGCCATAGAGGTTTTCCTAAAATGATCAGCGAGGAATTGGCGACTACTGCAGACTGTCTGTGTTAGTCTCCGTTCTAGCCCATCTCAGAGTTCGGGAAAAATTCATTCTGATTCTCTATATAATTTAAAAGGAATATTTATGTTAACAAGAAAAATAAGATCAGTACATTATGAAGTGATAATGCGAATCCTTTGTATATCGTTCATTATCACTGCGGCAACACTAGGCACATTAGAGTACATGGCTCGTTTTAAGCTCGACATGAAGTGACAGCTAGGACACCGATATCATGAAGTTCAAGTGTTTTTTTTACTCGAACTAACCAAACATTGATCACCTAGAATGCAAGTAAGCCACTAATTCATTGGCGCATCCAGTATTTTCGTTTTCGGGAGTTTCCGGAAATTGATAACCGATCAGCGGCTCGATGCAAAAAGGAGATAGGGGGACATAGAAAGCCTACGAAATATTTTTATTTATTTATTTTTAATCTATAACTGCTATGAAAATTTATTCGACGTGCTGATTTCGGGTCGCCTTGCAGGACGGGCGGCTCAGAAGAGTAACACAGGGCCAGTATTCGCTCCGACACGATAAATAACGAACAGGCTCGAAGCTACGCGACTCCGGCGTACTCTCTCTCGAAAAGGTGTAAGCCGCGGACTTTCATGTCACTCATGTCACATCAATTTTGCCTCTAACTTTAGTTGGAAAAGTGGACATGCATATTGTCCCCATGACGTCCGCTCGTGTTACGTCCATTCTGCCACCAAATTTAGTGTGAAAGCGAAAACGATGTATATGTCACGTGACTGGAGGTCACGTGACATTGATTTTCTTATCAAGCAAGACGTTTGGCTGGAACTCGTGTCTAATCAGGGATGACAGGAGCGCTGCTCTTTGGCATTCGTGATTAATAATTCAAGACGCCAGTTCTAGCTCAGCATTGAATAAGTACTCGTGTGACGGCTTCACGCACCGGAGAGCGAAACCGGTTACATACCAGACATATATGACATTAAATGCCAAGAAAATGTGTTCAAAATAAAGTTAAACACCCTGTATCATTGCCTTTTTGTCATTTGAGAACAAGTTCCTAAAATGTGTAGACGAATGCGAACGCACAACCCGAAATGTAAATAAATGAAGGCCATTGTTTTAATTTTTGTGTGCCGTTGAGAACGATTGATGTCGATGTTTATGTTGTTTAGTATTGTGTGCCGTTTTTATCTTTGTTCAATCGCACTCTTCTTATAATCCCCACCTTGCAAAAGCCTTAACGGGGCTACAGTTTCTACAAATAAATGAAAGTAACATAGAAACATTTCCAGGGACACCTAAACACTTATAACTTGTGAATGCGAAAACATGAGTGTCGAATTGAACGCTGCTGAGTACTCCTTCGAATTTTGCGGTGCGAGTATTAAGGTGCCGCCGTGTTCGTCAACGCTAAGAAAAGCACCCCTCCCCCCTTCTCCCCCCCCCCCCCCCTTCCCCCCCCCCCCCCCCCCCCTTGGGCTTCGGTACCTCCGGTGAGCCAGTGCCACCGTGTAAGGCCGTGTTCACACTTGCGAAACACTCTCTTGTCGCCCACCAATTTTACTGGGCGGAAAAAGACGTCGCCGTTCACATTTGTGCCACCCGCCGCGTTCGCGCGGCTTCGGTCTCTTGCGGATATCAGGGCAGACTCCCCCTGGCTCGCGTGGTGTTGGAAAAATGCTCTCACAAGCTCCTTCTTGCAGTTAACGCTGACCCACTGTGCCGATAAAATGCCCAACATTCTTTCGGCGATACGAGAAGGCATTAATAAAATAACGAGCAAACGGAGACAACGTGCCAGAATGTGACGCATGCAAGCGCCATTTCCTCCGTGCGTTCTGATTGGCTGCGACGGCGTGAAAAACTTTTCCACGGGCAAAACCGGTCTCGGACCAATGGCTCCCGCGGTTGCATATTCCGACGCCGGCCAGAGATTTCCCCCTCCCGGCGTCAATTTCCCAGCAGATTCGCCTGTGAATCCACAAGTTTGAACGAGCCATTACCCGTGTTAATTCCACAGGTGCCGGACCGCAGCGCCATGGGGTGGCGTTCCTTGAAACAGACGCGCGCCTGCCAATAAGAAGGTACCCATCAATTCGATTCTACAGAATAAAGGCTTCTCTCCATTGGACTGGTGAGTTAAGGTGCCGTTTGGCGCGGATTCAAAAGCTGATAACGCCGGGTAACCTCGTGAGACAGTTAATTATTTCGCATTAAGCATTAGGTAGTCAATGATTATGGCACTTATGCCCTTATTTTTGACGCGATCTATAGATATCCTAAAAGACACGTTTCGATATTTCAAGAAAAAAAAATATAGTCTCTTATACATTGCCCAGCGCATAATTGACCCACTTTCTATGCGAGTTGGAAATACATTTTCGGTTTCCACACGTGAAGCCCAATCTATATAAACCAGTGCATACTCTTTGACCAAGTTAAAAACGACGGAGACGAAAGTATGTCTTCTATCCGACAAAAAAAGTATGATCTTCCCAAGCTGTATATTTTTTTTATCTAGCGTTTATGTAAAATGAGCCTAGGAAAATCTGTTCGTCAAGCGAAACATTTGGTCAGCAGAAATGTAATACCTCGATGTATACAAACAAATATAATGCTGACACTCACACTCGTTCCATTGAACGACTTTTAAACTGAACCAGTCCTTGGTTATCAGTTTTACCAGATATACATTCAATGAAGGCATTCTCAGTAAGCGTTTTATTTAAAACATTTTGAATTCGCGAAATAACGAGCTTCTCTACTTTCGCTTGAGAATCTAATCGGCGTTTGCGTATGGGTCAGGTGGTTATTTCTTAAAGCAGGGCTTTGCCCTATGACAAGTAAAAACTCGAAGTGTTATCATCGGGGTAATTATAATTCATGGCCGCCGCAGTTTTGCCTCTTGTTGTTGTTGAGGTTGTTGGCACAGTCGGTTGGGGAGGAAGATTAGCGCTGTGGTTTCCGCACCTCCCTCGTTTACATATCTGCAAAAAATATAATTCTAATTTAGGAACTCAAAATGCGAATAATTTGACACATTTCAGCAATGCAGGTTGGACGAAAAAAAACTTACATAATCTAGCAAATAATGGTTGACTAGTGGTTAAACGCATTGCTAAGAGACATACCAGCCCTAAAGCGTGAAGTCTTAAATCACAAGGAGCATGGTTAAATAGCAACTCTGATGACGAAGTCTTAAACATTCCGATGGCGTGGCAGGCAAAACGTTCCAGAATCTGTGGAATGGTGTCCCTAATTAAAGAATTCTTTACTCCAACTCATCCTACGAAGGACTACATTCAACACTATGTGCCGCCAAGTCCACTCATGAACCACTCGGACATCACGTGGAGTATTGCTCCAGTGGGCTTTTCCAGCTGCGTATCTCGGAGAAATTATTCATCCATAAAGCAACATACCACGTGGGTTCTAACTTCCTCATAATTTGCCCTGACTGCATGTAGCATTGACTGTAGCCCGTTGTAATGTAAGAGGATGTGCACCAGCAACAAGGTGGTTAATGCATGTAAACGCAATACGAGACATTCCGGGGATTTGCAGCCTAGCACTTTGCACGCTAATTTTGAACTTATCTTTGCTGTAGCCACCCCCACTTCAAGGCTGATTGTCGCCACAGCTGATTGCCATCGACGAGGAAAACTGCCACGTGCCCTGATATCGGAACCATCCGGACTACTAGCGACACGGCATCACCGATCCTTAAAAAGAAGTGCTCACATCGCCTCACTCGGATATATTCCTCGAAAAAAAAAAAATAGAATACTTAAAAAGGTCGATCCGGGCTTTCATCTGCATCAGCATTTCGGGTTATGGCTGCCCAGAAGTTCTATAGTAGAGCGAAACCTTAAAAATCGCAGCGAATCTGTGTTGAACCTAGTGTTTTGCATAAAATAAAGCAGCTACAATATGGTCAGTCTACTATATTCTTCCAGCGGCGCCTAGTACAGTTGGGTAAGCATCGCGCTGACGTACTCATTATTTCGGTATGTGGATGTTATAAATAGGGATGGGATAAATCCTTCACACTTCTTCTTATTTTTCATCTTTTTAATAGGGATTTTACACGGAGCTTGCATATTCTAAAAAGGCGTACAGATGTTTAGTAGTCTGCAAACTCTGATTCCTTTGTAGCTAATTTGATGTTCCGTCTCGAGAACCACAGTTTCCTTTAAGAAAGGGTACTTTAGTAGATTCTAACAAATTTCTTCAATGTGGCCAACATTTTCTTCTGGCGGTTCTTGTCAAATTGTCGGTGTATGATTTACAATTGATATATTCCGGCATGGCTGCACCTAGGTATTTAAATTTACTGGCGAACGCTATTGACTACTATCAAGTTAATATAAAAAAAAACATGCACGTTTTCAGATTGGAGTGCGATTCTTAGGAATATCGTTGTTGCTCTTTATTTGCATTTTTCACCGCCTGCACTACCAATTTATAGTTTCTAAAGCAGCTTTCAAAGTGCTCTGATCTTCAGGACACAACATTCAGGAATTAATTAATCCGTCTTTTGCGAATAAGCGAGTGGTAACTTTAGAGCTATTGTTATCTACAATATTAATAATATATCTTAGAAATGATATCCGTTCCTCCAGGTACCCCTAAGGAACGCCCGACGTGACTTTTACTTTGTTAGCTCAAGGACAGTTCACTTCCAAAAACGTAGTGCGATAGGTGAGGCAGGCTCTGGATTCTTCTCGATAGTTTTACACTTATACCGGTGTATGCCAGCTTCATAATTAGCTACGCATGAGGAACGGGATCGAAAATCTTTGAAGGATCCAGAGAGGTTGCATCCGTTTGTCCCCTCTCTTTCCGTGAAGTAGCACAATCCGGTATGGTTTTCTCTCAGTTGTGTGAGTGCTGATAGCCTCCGCCGGGTATGGTTTTCTCTCAGTTGTGTGAGTGCTGATAGCCTCCGCCGGAATCCGTGGTGGCTTGGGTTAAAATCGCTTGAACTCTCAAAGTAATCGAAGATGCAACCCGATAATACATGGTCCAGTATTTTGCGGAAGAAGAAGAGGGGAAATTGGGACGGTAGTTTTCAGTGTTATGTTTGCAACAAGTTTTGGTGCACAGGAGTGAGTGTTGCCGTTAGTGAGTCGGTTCGAACAAGTTTGTTCAAAGATACGCGAAATATATTTTTTATGTATTTAAACAGCCATTCCGCATATCGTTTCAAAACTGTGCTATAGAACATAAAGAAAAACATGAAATATATGTATATCTATTAGGGGAATTCTCAATGTTCATTGGTTCTAGAAAGTCGGACTTACCTTACGCGCGTATTATATTCAAAGGTCAGATTATACATTGTCGGTCCTGTGCGTCCTATTTAATCAGTTTAAATAGTGCTGATTGTAAAATTGTAATCAAAGGTGGAAGAAAAAATAAAAAGTATGTGCCATGTGATAGGTAAAATATGGTAGACAACCATGGCCAAACACCGAAGTGACCTGCACATTCTTCGTTCGATAAAAATGCATATATTATGCCATATGTGCCGTCTAGGATATTTTTTTCTCAATGGGGTTGTGTTTATGCATTTTTATGAATCGACAAATTTGTAGCTGATCCTAGTCACTGTATCTTTTTATCCTTGCATATTGTAGTGAATATTTTGTGCCTTTAAGAGACATTTAAGATGCACAACATTCTAGCTACTTTAACTTGAGACGGCTGGCACCTGAAGTATTAACAAATATACACAACTACCAAATGTCCCTTAAGACGCGCAACGAATGAAATTTAGCTAATAACATTGAATGCCAGACGCATAACCAAAAAATAAATCGCGGCTGTAACTGGCTGGCCTGATAACATCCTGATTCCTAGTAAATTATTTAGACGTTTAGAACTGGGCCATTAGGCAATCTTCGCACTTATTTTGAATATAATTATAGGAATTTCAGTTTTTATTTGACCCGAAGTATCTATGAATATTTTGTCCACTCGATTATGCAGCCTAGTGAACCTAGCATGGCAGCTGTGGGCTGAAGAAAATAGGTGCTGTTGATTTAAAGGCCTTCGCCAATAGGATATCAAAAATGTCTAAGTCAACCTTGCATGAACGCTTTTTTTTTATACTTTGCTCAACATGGACTATTTTCTAGACACTCGAACGGTTCAAGTGCCCGTAACTTATATGGGCAGCACTCATCAAATTTTGATCATAGATTGTGCGAATTGGATTTTTTAATACCGACGACCCTTTTATCTTGGCTGTACTTTGATTCCGTGCATCGCATAATATCTTAGGATAAGGTAAAAATGTAACATCCATGCAATACTTGAATTTACTTTTTGATCACGATTACAGTGTGACGTTAAAATAACCAAGGGGTAATACGCCAAAACAACAGGGACAAAAAACGAAGGGAGAACTACACAGGACGCGGTGTAACGTTCTCCACAGAGCGTGGGTTAAGTCCATATTTACTGGCTGCGGCCACATTCAAATTTCTGCTTTGTGTTTTTCACCAGATGTTTCTTCCTTAAAAATTGTTTTGACGTTATTATCTTCCACCTCGTAAGACAGATATGAAACGGCGAAATTCATGCTAACCTCTACTCAGCCTTTCTCAATTATGTGTGTCTAATTTTAGTCACACTAGCTTTCAGACTGGTAACCTAGGTAACTCAGTGCTTTGAGTTAAAATTTCGTTTTTGTCCGGAAATGAATGGCCCTAAGAACCCCGAAGGAGCCAAGGTAGATTAAAGCGTGACCCTCTTTGACTAAAGTTTGGGTATCTTTTCCCTAATTCGTGAAACCAGTGCCAAAGTTAGGCTTCATTGCTGGAATTATGTCTGTCAGTTTGATTTTATGGGCGTGAATCACAAAACATGTGCCAGAGCTTGGCTTCACATCTGGTTGTTTGGTCTTCATATGGCGATCTTCGGCCTAAATTTCCAAACAATGCCAGACTTAGGATTCACTGCTCGTTCCTCGTTGCATACGTGCCATCTTGTTGCTCAAGTTTGGCACTTCGGCAATTATGTGGCGATGCAATAGTGCAACCAACATCTGCTGCGCTGTCCTCGCGCAGCGAAGCAGAGGCTGGTTGCACTATTTCTCCACTGGGTGCGGTGCCGTCGGGGACGAGATGCTCTCCGATTGCAAACCGAAATTTATAAACAATCCGAATTCGTGAGGTTTTTCAGAGAGCCGTAAAATACGGCGAGTACCTTCTATCGTTCCGCAATTTGTTTATCTAGTGTTTTTTGGTGAGGCTGAGCAATTTTCTAATTGAAACCATGCCCTTAAACACAATGTTGAGAAGTTAATTACACGAAAATAGCTAACAGTCTAATTATACCGTACTTTCATAATTCTCCCAAAAGGTCTCTGTCCCAGGACCAATATGACAGAAGCCTTTTTTCGTTGCGATGAGTAGTTTTCGCAATATCAAATTTGTCCCCTTTTCGTGAAACACCCTGTATTTTGTGTACTTCGTATTCTAGCGGCTTGGTCCGCGCATCGATTTAGTCTGGCAGCAACTAAAGCGTACACAATAAAAATATATGTTCAATAACTAATAATATTAAACTAAAAATACACCTTTTATATACCTTCTAAATTATTCCAGACAAGTAAATATTCTAAATACTTTTCTTGTGTTACATTTTACAAGTGTGTATTATAACCACCGATTAAAATAATCCGGTGAATAAACAAAAATAACAAAAAACACAAAAATGAATATACCCCACCTCCACCGCTTCTTGTCACTAACCGCCCTCTATCTTACATTGGTGTATACAAGCATTTATGCTTTAAGACTATGTAAGGCCGTACCTCTACTTGTAAAAAATGTCATATTTACTACTATACTTAAAGAGTTTCAGGCAGACGACAAACAGCTCTGCAAAGAACATTACGCGCAGACAGAGTGTGCGTGTAATTTGACCGGCATTTTTGTCGAAAATAGTGTTAGGCCTTGTTATATAACCAAGACCTAAAAAGTATTGCATTTCTTACCACTAGCGTAAATCTGTTCGGGCCAAGATAAAACGTACGGCGAGAAACAATGTGGGTACCTTTGTCAGCAAAATGTATAGTGAAATCATTCTAGGATTTCTATTTATTGCTTATTAACCAAAGAGGGCTACTGCGCTCACCTTGTTCTGTCCACAAGCCATTCCATCCACAAGGGGTTGCACATAGCAGCTTACCCGTCCTTGGCCATAATTCGGACAGCACAGGAATTTGCAGTTTTCTGTAAATCCTGATTTCTGCATAAACAAAAAATATTCAAAATTTAGTGTAATAGCGATAGTTGTAGGATGGAGTTATCGATTTGAGAAGAGTACAAAGAAAATAGTAGAATAGTGGTAATCCTAAATTGTCTAATACGCATCATTCTAAAATAGAACGCAATTATAACCGGTGCTCCACAAAGACAATTATATCCGGTGTACCGGAAGGAAGCATTTTAGGACCCTTACTATTTAATATATAAATTAATGATATTGTAAACATAAACCCATTGACTAAATTCGTAATATACGCGGATGACACGAGCCTTCTCTTTCCTGGCGGGACTGGCGACGAGCTTGTCAGCTGCGCCAAGGTGAACCTCACGGCGTTGCAAAAATGGTCCACAGATAACGCGCTAACCATCAATGCGAGTAAGAAGAAGGCGATCATCGTTCGGCCTACAAACAAAAATTTTTTTACAACTAATAACCCTTGTCTTCAATGAAAAGGATATGGATATTGTAGATAATTTTAAGAATGTAGGCGTAACTTTCAATCAGTACTTATATTGAGAAAATCATCTAAATAATATACGCACTAGATTGTCAAAGGTCATTGGACTAGCCTCTCGTAACGGTTTGATTCTACCGAGAAATATTAAAGTTCTTTTATATAAGACTTTATTTATTTCTCACCTACATAATTGTCATCTAGATTCAGGCACACCCACCCGCACAAACCTAAAAAAGGCACGTATTGAAAAAAAAAAAAAAGAACATGTGCGCCCTATTGAGAATGCTTCTTGCGACTCAAACACTTATGGGTCTGTTTATAAAAAAATAATATACTTCCTGCTCACAAAGTGTACAAGTATAGACTAGCGATCAGTTTTAGGTTAGAAAATAAAAGAAACGGGGATAGCTGAGCAAACGTTGCGGAGCTAAAAAAAAACAAAAAAAAAACATTCAACTTCCTACCTAACTCGGTCGGCGGAACATTGGACTGAGGCACTAGGTCAAAACAACTATTCCATGCTATCACTCAAATACACACTTCCTACAGTATTACCACTCTAATAAAAATAGCATTGATATTATTTCTACTGTAATTCAGTAATTGTAAACTAAACTAATGAAGGACGGAAACGAATAAATTGATATATGAGACCTGTTTGATTTGTGGCCTAGTTATGTGGGTTTTCTCAATGTTTTACGCTGTTGGGTTGTTTTGACTTCTGTATATGCCATTACAAGAGAGGAAGTGGCTCCGACAAGCTGTTTCTACAGCCTTTATTTCCTTGCTTCCTCTGTCTATGTATCAAAATGGAAAATAAACTTTCGTAATATTATATAGTACATGACTGCCACACCTCCTTTTTATCTGCCAGCTAGGCAAGACCATCAACAAAAATTTGCCATCCCATACGCTCAAACCAGTCCCTTCCAGCACATATTTATAGCAGCTGCGGCCTGAGGCCGGAACCGCCTTCCTGCTGCCACAGTCTCAGTCACAGAGCATGTTAATTTTGAAAGCACTTTGTATTGTGTCATACTCTAACCGATCGTTATGACGTCTTCTAATTGACTTTATTCCGTTTCGATTCACGTGTACCCACTTCACCCAGTTTAGTGCTCACGCCCTGAGGGTAAAATAAATTAAAAAGAAAACGAAGACAAAAAGTAGAAAGGGATATTAAAATTAAGTCTCCTTCACTCAGTTAATAATAAAGGGGCAGGACTTAAGTTTCAAGACGCTCTGGCAGTGAGCACTATTTCAGGTCTCCCATCTTTGAAACGCAAGCGAATGCATAAAATTCTAGATTATCTACGCAATATTAATTCGTGGTTTCTTAGATTATTTCGCTAAAGTAGCGGAGACACTCTTGTTGGCTACGGAAAAAGAGTTAGAGGATACATACTTGAATTATGCCAGTTGATTTGTGCCAAGTTTTAGGTTTTTGTTCTAAGTTGTCAGTTCAAGTTACATAACGTGTTGTGGGTATAATATTCCTTATAGACAACACCAGATAGTCCCGTAGAAATATAAAGGGCACGCTAAGAAGCAATGACAGACTTCTTGGAAACCCCTCCACTTAACTTTACCGTTAGGGTACGCATTGGAGGAATTCCGCAGTCAGTTAGCCGGCCATGCCTTCACGGCGGCCAACATCTCCGATTATTTTTTCTCAATTAATAAAGAAAGGAAGAAAGAGAAGCCCCGCGGGACAATGATTTTGTCAAACTAATACAGACACGAAAAACGCCTTGAAAAATCAGTGATGCATAGACAACGAAATATGTATTAGGTTAATTCATTTGTTCAATAAAAGTACGCAAAACAGTTTTGAAATAAACCAATATAAAATACGATAATCTAGTAAAGTATGATTCGCTTTCTCACTACCACACACGCACACTCACCCGCACACACGTACACACAAACACCTCCCGATACCGCTCCAGATTGAAAGGTTGAAAACAAGAAAACTGAATTCAAGCCATCCGGGGACTTGAATTTCAATATTAAGTTTGCTATCGGCACAAGGCAAAAGCGTTTACTTCAAAATGTTCACTTTGTCTGTACACTTCGTAATCACGATAAAACAAATTTGCAGGGATTTAACCTTTTGAAGATATTGTAACATTCACAGTCGTGTGAACCTGCATCAGCAACCTCCACGTACACTTGGTTCTACCATTTCAAGGTTACAATCTAATAGAACGAAGGCCTGGAATATCGAACGCTTCTTAGTTCTATTTTTTTTTCTTTTAGTTTGAAATCTTAACACACGGACCAGTGAAAGGGAAGTCCATGATATCACAACGTCATTAAAGCTGTGGCATTGATCGATATTTATTGAAAGTTCACTTAAGGGATATAATATTTGTTGCATCAATTGTCTTACCAGTATGACCTACTTATGAAAGTCTCATTGATAACACCTGTTGTACGGCTCCGCAGCTGCGTCAGTAGATTCAGGATAGTGTAATTTCACGTAGAGCCCTGTAGTACAAAGTCTGAATTTTCGTGACACATGCTGGCTAACCTGAATGAACGATTGCTGCAGGGGAAATATTGTTAAAGAGGTAGGTTCAATTTTAGGATTTCAAAGAGTCAAAACTGAGTTTTAGTACCTCGGAGCTTCCGACATAGCCTTCATATAAGTGAAAATCTGAAAACTGTCAACTTAGCTTATTCATAGCTTTTGCAACCCAGCAGCTTTATTTTTAATTTTCCATGAAATAGGGCAACGAAGGAAAGAATGCAGCACTAAAAATAAACATTTTGTTCGCACAACTAAAATACACATGTTGGGATCTCGATCCCGCAATGTACAGTGGCCGACAAGAAGCACAACTGGCCGGATAGCGCGTGTGCTTAAAAACGTTCCGCAGTTTCAAAAGGCCACACAGCCAAAGACCTGATATATTTTGTGGCGATTGCCCAGCATGGTAAAAGTTTCAATTTTACCTATCTACTTCTGCTAACAAGAAATATTGCGTCCTTGTTTTCGAAATACAATACTCATGCTATTCATCTCTGAGTTGAACATGCACTAAGAAATCTTCCCAAAACATGCACAGCGGCTCCTCCCACGACAAGCTTTTTGAGTATACCTTTCATTGCTTCTTTATGGCAGAATGCGTCGGTGATTTTCTTACTGGCGACTGCGTGATAGTTTTGTTTTGCAATGTTGTCTTTTTGGATTTATGTATCGTATGTGTGCGTATCCAGTTCTGCCGCAAGCATTTGTTCATCTGCTTGACTTGCTTGATATTCCCACCACATGTTCCAAACTATGGTTCAAGACCGAGATTTACTAAAAGTAAGAAGCGGTCATACACTATCAAGCAACAGAGAATGCCCACATCGAGCTGCTCTCAAACTGTGGCATTCATGTTATGCGCTGTCAAATATTGTCTCGCCGTACAACAGACATGGGAGCCGGAGTCCGTTTATAGATGGAGGTCCTCGTGTACAAGAGGGTGCGTCAATGTCTTTCTGTTTATGGTGATGACATCTTTTGTAGTACCGGATGCCTAAGCACACGTTCACAAAGAAAATACAACGAAATCGCCCAAAAACAAAATGTTGCGGTAGAACAGTAAACGCCAAAAGCGCGTGCAGTGAGACACACTTTCCCGCGCTTCAGAACGCATAAAAAAATACGAGTTCGGAACAAAATTGTCACATTTGATTACCCTAAACATAGTGCACGTAAAGTCATGCTAGTCTACGCAGGTTACAACAACACCTAAATGTTAGTCGCTGATTTTCAGGATGAGCTAACGCCTATAAAGCCACCAAGTACCTCAGAATTTCTCATAACATATCGACTTCCGGTTGTTGTACACTCGAGTAATCCGTGTAAGTTTAAGCTACAAGAAACAAGGGCGAACCAAGCGACGTTTCAGGGGAACCTCCGAGGTGAGTTTTTGCCTTTTGGTTCTGATTGCAAAATTTCGAACGAATCCGAGTCCCGAAGGAAACATCCTAATGAAAACAATAAATGAAATCTCAAGGACAATACCTGACGCCCCCGAATTGAGCGCTACGGCTTACGTCATAACCATGCCACGAAACATGCGACGTGTGTCATTTTAAGCACAATAATGCACGTTTAAGTGGCACCTGCACGGCGGCATCTATAAGGCCCTTAAAATCAAGGTCTAATAGGTGAGACCCTTATTTCCAGATGAGGGAATATAGGACCAGCTAAACCCGGCATCTTTGCAGCGGAAATGAAGTTTTCCTCACAAGGCGGAATATATGTAATCATATAATTCGTATAAAGCTCCAAAGCGTATTTGACGTCGAATTCCACTGGATGAGAAGAAAATAATTCATGCGAGCAACAGAAGGCACTCCTGTATTGTTTTAGTGCGGGGTCACCAGGGGTTTCCGGACGAGCGCCTTTGTGTAGGCGACTGCGACAGCCTATCCCCGCCGCCACAATAGGTACGTACAGCGCTGTCACGTCCGAAGCTATCTGGTTTTTAGCCTAGCACTCAAAATAGTTTTGAAGTGCTGAGGATAAATACCTTGCTGGTTCTTTTTTAGCGTGTTTTGGATAGCAATGTCGCCATGTCGCCACTCGGGGACGTTACTTGTGAATTATGCGCAGTAACATATAAAACCCTTTTTGTTCCTACACCCATCTTCAGCAAGCGGACGCCCCATTTCGAAAGCATTGCGTTCTTACATTTTGTAACCTGAAATTAAAACGGTTTGTGACTCAGTGGTTGTGTATTAAATTGCATTATTTGAACTGTGTGCGGTTGAAGAGTCCCCTTCTATAAAATTAGCTTAAAAAATCCACCAGCGTCACGATGACAGAAAGATTTCAGTTTTTCTAACAACAAGAACTGAGATTGTGGGTGCATGTAGCATTTATATCAGTAAAAAGCGCGCGTCACCAAGAAAGGTTATGTTGTTTTCTTCCATAATAACAAGCTTCCCTTCACTAGAATTGTTGCTACGGGCGCCCGTAATAACATTTCTCGTTTTGGGGAGAGTACGCATTAATGTAAGCATTGGCATTCATAAAAAAAAAAATTAGCATTTCTTTTTTTTTTATCCATGTAAAGCTATCTTCTCAAACTTTCGCGTTTTATCACAAGAGCTAGAGTTATATTTTCACGGAGCTCAAACGTTCTGCGATGCATGGTTCATTTAGGCTGTAAACAAAAATTTCTCTCTTAACACGTACGAACGCCAGGTATATCTTACATTGCTGTGTGTAGGTTCATATAGCACGCAATAATCTTAGGTCCTCATATGCGGGACTACATTCTGTCATATATTATATAACGATGTTTTTACTTACGGTGAAACCGGTCATCCCTGAGAGGTGACGAAATCGCTTTCGGCATATGTTTGTCATATTCATCCGCTTACCCGGAAGCAACTTTGGTGATTTGATGTCTGTTTGCGATTTAACCTTGAAGCAATCTTTTGAGATGGTTCTACAAAATTTTAAGCTCACATAAATTATAACAGTTATGTTTCGATACAAAAAAAAGTAAGTATTCAAGACATGTTTTTATTATCAAAGACGACACCTATTAGCCCTAATATTCTTGTTATCAAAAATTAAAGACAATATTTGTAACATCAAGATGAACCATAAATTGAATTCTAGAAAAATGTGTTGATAGATGTATCTTAGCAAGGTATTAGAAATATAAAGTGGAAAAAGGTATCTTTTTTTAATGAATTTGACAAAAAGGTAAAAAAGCCTAGTTAAATATTATCAGGAATGCCAAATGATCACGCGACGATTGACTAAAGGAAACTAAAAATTTCATGGGGCGAACTTGTGCTTAACACAAAATAAAAAGGGCAGGTGTCGTAGGCGTCGATGGCGGCGCAAAAGCAGGATTGAACGCTGGGCGATCCTGACTCCATACGGCGCGGAGCAGCTTCTTTTGAGCGATTCCTGGAAACCTGGAACATCCTACCTCTTTCGTTCTGGAAGTATACGTTCTCAGCATGAAGAAGCTACGCGGCTCTCCAACGTTCTAGAATTTTCTACTTACATAACTATAGGAAAGCGAAGAGCGACAGCGGGATTCGAAATCCGGACATATGTGTGGGAGCCAAGCCCGATACTCCCTTGGCTGGAACCGCGCGCGGCATTACCTAGCTCACAACTAGCCAAGGTATGCTCATTCTCTTCATATGCTATGCTTGATATTACAGGTTACTGGATTACCTCAAATACCTCCGTTCCACAATAAAAGCTAAACTTTAGCCTGAACTCCGTAAGACGAGAATGCAGTACAATGGGCTTGCCTTAAAATGACGCGCTTTTGAATATTGCCCGCTAAATTGACGTGACAAATCACAGCAGTATGTCTGAACCCGATCGCCTGATTCGACAATTTGTGGCAGATTGAGACATGCGATTTTGTTTTTCATTTATACCCACACATTCCCCCTAGCTTAGAAACATTATCAGAAATATATATATATATATATATATATATATATATATATATATTTATATATATGAATTCAAATGTCATCTAAATAATCTATTCTTACTCGTTGGTGAAACTGCAAGCAGAGTGCATAACAGAGCTGTGTTATACTTCTTACGGTTGTCAACTTTCGCTTATATTAATAGGTCGCAACGATAATTATCTTGATATAATATTGCTTTGAGGATTCAAAGCAACAAAATGTTACCACAGTGACTTGACTGTGCGAGTCTAAGGGATTCCTAACTGAATTATCGATCAGTTTTATTGTTCACGTTGAAACTCCTAGAATAGAAATTATTTCACTAAGTTAGGTGTAGAAATGAGTAAATATATCAAACAGTTGTCTTACGTCAAAAAGTGTTTCATCTGCTGAAGAGAGCATTTCGAGAAAAAACCGTCATTGGCACCGCCTGTGTACGGTGCCATAATGTATCCACCGCTCCGCGAGCATCGAAGCCACGGGGTTCCGGAAACGTTCGACGGGGGAACGTCACCGTCATGATACATGCCCATCCTGGAGTGGGACAAAGAAAGTAAAAATATATATTTATTTATATATCTCTAACTATACAATTGTTACGTTCTTTCCATCTGATATCAAATTACATTCTCTTTAGAAAACAAAAAACTCCATTTCTGGTCCACACACGTATGGCCTATTATAGAATGAGATACAATAATGTATTTCCACGACATGCTTTTTTGTTCAAAACGCAATCACCAGATGTGCTTGACAGAGACCAACCAGTAATTTTGTATTACTATTTACCCAGACACCCAGACACATGACATTGTCCAGTGAATTTTATAATGTGCCGTGAAAATTTAATAATACTGCTTGAGGTTCTGCATGGAAGGTTTATAAAAAAAGCTAGTGACAAAATCTATCCTCGAAATATGTCAAATGTTTAAAACATGTCAAAATAATTCTTGATCAAAATGGTTCAATACCAAAGCACATATTGCGTATTATGGACATTATACAGCAGGTAATAGTGTTATTTTTTTTAAATGAGGAAGGAGGTTTAGCTATCTTACATTTAGATATCTTTATACAAAAAATTGAGACGCAATTTGAGTCCTGAACACTAAGGCACACGACGGACGCTTTATTAATCTTAAGTTTTACCCTGCTCGTTTAAACTAACGTTAGAGATCCCAAGGAGATGATGTGCAGAAACATTTTATAGTAGCTTCCTCTACAACACAGTTTGCGTGAGAACGCGATCACCACTTTCGCCCCTTTTTTATTAAACCGCTGCCATATAAACCCCTAGTGTGCCGGAGTTACTTAGCAAAAGCGATGAAATCTGGTGGCCGTCAATCCTGTGTACGAGTAAAATCCGTAAAGTCGCCAATGTCGCGCCTTGTACATTTTCTGTAGAATGTCTACTCGAGCATATTAGGGTCAACTCTTGAGCCACGTCCCGACATGCGCAGCACGGAGGCGATGCACTCATTTGTCTGCTGGCGGCGTCGATTGGGAGGGACCGCCACAAGATACAACTATCGCGAACTCGATTGTTTGACAAAACGCTCCTATTTCTCATTATCACATTTTATAGTATCATTTTTTATGGTATCACAAATATGCACCACCTACGTTCTCGTTTGGTGAACCTTTGAGCTCTTTATGGGCTGGCGCTGTTATCTCTAGCTCTTTTTACAGCTCTAGAATTCATTGTCTTCACATTATATGTGTCCCAGTTATGTTGAGAGATATATTTAATAAATCCCTTCTTCGGGGGAATCACCTCATTGTTTATGAACAATTACTCTCAAATTGCGAAATGGATGCTGATATGGTGCTTGCTCATGCAGATGTTTTTTGCTCGAACGTAACCCGTAAGAGCCACACTACCCAGAGCACAATTTTCGGCTCAGAAGTCGTATTCTTTCCGTCTGAAAGCTGCCGGTCGAGAATCGGCGACTTTCAGGCGCTGTCACTTTCTTTTCCACAGTCACGTGCCGTTAAAACTGATATATACAAAATGTATTCAAGGTCCTGTGGGTCCCAAAACGTATTTAATAATAATAAAAATATGAACCGGATTTCTGTGCTTCGAAGAAGCTGCATATGCGTTGATCGAAAGGAATTGTTACACAGATCAGAGGAATTACACGTAGACGTCATTTTCAATATGGCGACGTACGACGGGCCGAAGCAATGGCGGCGCATGATGGACGTGGGACCGCTACTTCGGAACTGTGGTTTGTGGTAGCGGCCAGTCGATACTCAAGTGCAGAGCAGTTAGCGGAAGTGATATAAGTGCGAAACACTCGCTCGATTCTCGTCGTCCGCTTCACACGCCCATAAAGACGACGAACGAAAAAAAAAATAGAAAACTGGGTAGGAAGCGATAGCCACCTGACCTCGGGCAACGATCTGCTCCTAGTCTCCGTGCACATTTTCGCCTTAGTTTACGAGCAGTTTTTCTTTATTTGTAACTTTACTTTATTAAAAATATACGTGACCCTCTAACAAAATATTGAGAGGGTAGAGTTCTGACACGAACTAAACTACCCGACAAGAATAAAAAAAGGTGCGAGGTGTCAGTGTACCTTTGAAGTCCTACTAAATTAAGAAACATTTCAGGGCTGCCTTGACATGTTTCTAAAGCGCTTAGAACACGCCAAATATAAAATATGAGATAACTACGCTGCTATGACCCATTTATGTCCTACATTGCTGGTAATTTTTTTTTTAATGGCGGTATATTTTTTGTGGTTAAACCGATCTACATGCAGATCCTTTGGAACCACCTCGTTCGGGACGTCCGCTATGGTTGGTGGGTCGGTGACGTACTCGCCCAGCGCGCGGCGTGCCCTTGCATGCACTCCCAGGCAAGGTTCTCTCGGCGTCTCACGCTTCAACTCCCCCGTTTACCTTCGCGTTTCGAGTACGCGGCTTTGACACTACATTTGACACTATGTCGTCTACAGCATTTCTCTCTTCGTCCGAGTCTTCAACACTGATCGGAGTAGCGATGAGAGAGATTGTTATCGAGAGTTGTTGAGAGCTAGTCATTTTTTACATGAACCCGCTGGCGACCAGCTTTAGCGGTGACGATATCGTCACGGACGAACTTCCCGTTGTCAGTGACGACCTCACACACGCATGCTAGGGAAAGTTGAAAGGGCAAGGTGACGAGGTCAAAAGTAGCGATGAAGAAGCCTACTAGCGGGGGAGGGTGCGATCGTAGCGCGCCCATGCTCGGAAAAGCTTGGTCGAGCATGGGCGCGCTTAGAATTAGAAGGCGTTTAAGTGCGCATCATGGTCACGTGTTTTATAGGCACGACAGTGTGCTTCACTTGGACACTGTTGCCCGGTCACCCGATAAAAATAATCAACAGTAGTAAATGATTATGCAATTACCAGAGCTCTAACAATAGTAAAACTTGATATATATACTAAGTAACCATGAGCATTACATTTCAAGACTAATCTATATGTTTAGTTTTCGTGTCCTGACCCCTGTAACAAAAGGAATGGTAAAAACAGAGTACATGTGTACAAGTGTTGTTCAAGGTTGACCTGGACTTTTGCCTATAAAAAAAACCGCTGAACAAGCTTCGCGCAGTTAAACTTGTGAAGGTCGTTAAAGCAATTTGTCTTAAAGAAACCGTGCCTGAAATGACGCGGTTGACGAGGCCGGAGCAGTCCCAGCTATCATGTCGGTCAGCAATATGACTGTTCCCGTGGATAAGCGTTAGATAATCAAATTTGAGGTGAAGTGGATCGTTAAACAAGATGAATGCTTGAGACGATTGCAAGCGCAGTAAAGGGGATAAGCGGTGTCACGAAATAGCAGTGCACGGATGGTTCCAACAGTTCCGCCGAGGAAAAACGCTAGCGAGAAATTAAACAAATGGCCACCCTAGTCCAACCACAGTCGCGTAGCTTAGTCACTTCTACGCCAAAGTAATAAGAAACAAGCCGGAAGAGTGACATTGGAGCGTGGACGTATAGTACATGGGAAATACTTTGAAGAGCTGACATAGGTTCGGTGCCCCTCAAAAGATAAATTTGTTCTGTAGGAGTAAAAGTCCCAGCCAACCTTGAACAACTCTTGCAATTTTACCAGTGGTTCATATCTATTTTTACGCAGTTATTTTCTTGTCACCAGTACAAACCGGTATACCTATAAACGTTGCTACAATATTAAAAGAGATTTTAAAATCAGTCAAGTCTTACAGATGTCCCAGTTCGTGAGCTGCGATCGGTACCCCGGAGTATGTATGAGGCACATCTTCCATTTGACCGAACCGATAGTTCGGATGGCAGAGTCCCTCCATGTATGCTAGCCCTAAGCATTTAACAGAAATGTAAATTAGACGTAAAAAACACTTAACAACGTGTATTATTACTACTGATTTCCGCTTTGTGATTACAACATATCAACGCAATTAGGCTTCACAAAACCACATTAACGGGAGTTCAATACATATTTTTATAATGAACCTACATGTTCAGAATATAACAATGGCTATCAGTTTTTTTTTAAATGTGGTTCACTTTATGCCTTACGTAACTGATCAGCCTGATTACGCTTCCCCAGCTCCCTCTGAGTTAAAGTAGCAGGCATGGACTCACAAAAAGAAATTCCTTAAAATCTAAAAGCCAAGCAATATCTGTACGTCAATCGAATGCCGCTTCTATAGAGTTTCTTTGTACAAGTTAATCAGTTGAAAGCTCCTAAAAGCGTATGTTGAAAATAGCTGGCTACAGCGCTAGCATTTATATCGATATTCACGGTCCTGAAGAAGTAATTAGGCGGATTGAGTCGTACATCTGCACATCGTGAAATAATCGCGAGAAGGACAAGGACCAAAAAAGGGAATGACCACAGGACAAACGCTGACTAAATGATTTTTTATTGGAATCTGTAGATACCACTGTGTTCGCCTAGGCAAAGGACGCATTGTGGGTTTTGCTCTTATTTCTTATTCGTTTCCCACTCGACGTGCTAACCAAGATCCGGAAAATGAATCTCACTGTTGGTTCGAGTCAGTAAAGATTACATCACGCACGAGTTTTTTTTTTTTTTATGTTTTGTTTTTTGTTATGTAGTATGTTTTTCTTTTTCTTTTTATTTCTCTAAACGTTTGGTCTCGGTGTTTAAACAATATAGAAGTGTTGGAGATTCACAGTTCGCACCCGTAAACTTTACAGTGCCTCGCTGAATGGGAGTATGCAATCCTTTTCAAGGAGCTGCGGTGTACTCGGAGGCAGGTGTTCAAACATCGCCCCGTTTGCCCAATATAGGAGCGCGTGCAGGAGAAAGGGATTATCTAGACCGTACCATTTATGCAGGTGACGAATTTGATGCGGTGCTTGACGTTGCATTTATTGCAATCCGCTCGTTTCGCTTTGCTTTCGTGTCTGTTCGCCACGGAGCATACTCAGCTTAGTTTGTTTCGGGCTACACAAACCACGTCCACCAAGTAGATAGATTATACATTTGTAAGTCCATGGTACATGCGGTGAACATATAGAACAGCCGAAACCTTCTTTTCCTCTTTCAACTGTTGACCTCAAAAGGAACTGACTTCAACGTTTTTTCACTAATTTTCGCATGGTCCAAAAAAAACTAAGTATGGAACCCCTGCATCTGTGATTGTTTTCATCTGCAAGTTGAAATACATGTTCATCTTGCGCATACATTGCTTAATTAATGCAAAGAGAAGCGAGCGGATTGTAACAGATGCAACGCCAAGCACCACATCAAGCTCGTCACTTGCGTAAAAGGCAAGGTTTACATGATTCCCTTTTTCTGCGGGCGCTTCCATAATGATCAATCGGGGCGATGTTTGAACATTCGCCTCAGAGAACACCGCAGCTCCTTGAAAAGGATTGCATGCTCCCATCTAGAGGGGGAGTCTAGATTGCGGGTGCTAGCCGCGGTTCTCAAACACCACCATATTGGTCGAAGAAACATGCAGAAAAATGAAGGAAACAAACTACATAACGAAAAGCACACCCTCGTGCGTGAGCCAACCTTCACTGACTCTAACGAACAGTGAGATTTATTTTCTTGATCTTTATTAGTACGTGGAGTCGGAAGCGAAAAAGAAAAAAAGTGCAAAATCCACGGTGCGTATTTTGCCTGCGCGACCACTGTGCCATCAACATATTCCAATAAAAATCAGTTGTTAGTCGGCGCTTTTCTTGTGTAGTCCTGCATTTGTGTCCTAATCCCTTTCGCGCAGTTGTTCACGATGAACGCATACCAACTGGCCCAAAGTCCATCGTAAATTCGTAGGCGGGTGTCAGAACACCTGACTGGTTAAGATAAATAAAAATGCAATGAAGCATTCTCAGAACACTGTAGCCTTGAATGTTTTAATATCAAAACCCTAATGACAGTAATTTAAAACAAAGACTAAATTTCATTGTTTAGAAAACTCACAGCGACAATTATCTCGCACCTACTGTCCGCTGCAAGCATGAGGTAGCCGCACAAACACATTTCGCGTACCTCCCACAGTTCAATTTTGTTCTAATTGTTGAAGGCCTAAATTTGAACACCCAGTATAATATTTTCATTATACATGATATAAACGAAATAGAGAGTACTAAAAGGGCAAACTTAACTCTAATATCAAGCTTTTTTTTTCTTTCTATTCTACAATTCACCTATATTTAGAGGGTCGAAAACGTTTTGCCCAAACTTTGGTAAATTTCTCAACAGCAAAACGAATTCATAACTACAATGAATAAAAAATTAAAGGCACTCCGTTACCTCAAACCTTCTGTTTATCGCCCCTTCTTACCAGAGCCTTTTCTACGCGATTGTCTCTCCAGTCAAGGCGGTGCATGCTTCAATCGTTCAAATCAGTTCACTTGTGACCGGGGCGCTAGAAACAATGACCGTCCACTTGTGATTCGCGAAAGGCTGTAGTAGCTATTTGTGGATTGCTGGTGTGTCTGGTGCTGATAATTATCCAAGACTTTGTGCATGAAGAAAGCGTTTTGTCGCAAAGAGGTGTGTTTGAATGAATACAAAAGTTCAAGGATGGACGCACAAGTGCTAGCCATAGAAAAGGAGCCGGACGCCGGTCCTCGTCCAAGACTAATGAAGACGCTGAACTTGCACGCAAACTGGTTCTGTTAATTTACTAGTGACGGTGGATGATGTGAAAGAGTCGTTAGCAAATGAGTCAAGGCTTTGCAATATTGCATGCGAGGGTTAAATTTGGAATGGTTTAGATTACAATTTATTCTTCAGCCATAAATTGAATAATTTGGACTCATCCTAATATATTTATGCGAAAAATGTCAAATCCACCTGAAGATTCAAATGAATATCATAAAAAACACGTAACCCTACCTGCAAAATCATGCAAATTCCGCCGAAACAGTGAACAGATTATCATTTCAAACATACAAGTCATTACACAAAAAAGTTAATCCTAACCACGTTTTTAATGTTTATTGTGCGCACGGGCAGACCCTTTAAAAGGACAATAAAAAAATCCAAGATTTTTTTCTTTAAAAATTAGTTAGGACACGCGTTCAAAACAAAAACTTCCAAAACGCATTTTGAACGCAACATTTATGCCGCCATTCGCAATTCAGTTGGAGGTAGCCCTGCTCTAGGCCCCCTTTAAGAACCGTGTTTAGTTAGCAAAACCTTTTTTCTTGCATCTCAACGGTTGGAAAGACGATTGATTTGTAAAATGTTTGTTGTAAAATCGTTTCTTCCTGCCGTGGTAGTATTTTATTTCACATATAGGTTCATATATATATATCACATATAGGTTGACGAGGAAGAAAACTTGCGCCCCCCCCCCCCCCCCCCCCCCCCCCCGCTCCGAAAAGCTCCCGTTGAATGAAAGCCTGGATGTACTGAAAAGATCTAGGCATGTATAATTAACTCTTCAAGAAGCCGTTGTCTTCTGACTGGAATGAGTATCGCCGGCTGCTGCGTGTAACTCATGAACAATACATTGAACCTTCATCGCTCGTGGGGCCAAGAATCACACGACAAGGAACCGTGATGCGTCGACCGATCTCGCCAGCAAAAAGAATGCAAGTTACGCTGCGCTTTCTCTTCGCCGATAAATAATGCTGTCGATTTGAATTGTAGGCTGACTGTCACACGTAGCTCATTCAATTATTCTAAAAAAGCTGCGGTAGACAAGGGAAATTCCACAAGGGAAAATGCTTTGGTCATTACCGCGCTGCTCGGTCCGCGGCCCGGCAACGGACCACGCAAACCGATGACGTGTGATCAGACCGTCGGTTTGCCAAAACCGATGTTTGGTCCGCCGTGTAGATACAGTGGTTTTTCATGCTTTTTTAAACGTTTTATCTTTGCAAGTGTTTTCTTCTCCTTTGGGAGGAAAGGAAATAAACAGTTGTTACTATGCCCTTCGCATGTACGTGTCGTTGTTCCCGTGTCTCTGTTTTGACTTCATCCTCCTTGCAGCGCGGTTTGAGATCAATGATGAACAATTAACTAGTCTCCACTAAAGCTTTGTTGCACAGACGCGTGTTTACCTCAACCTCAAACACCCTCCCTTCTCCCTTTCCCTCGATAGTTAGCCTATGTGACGTCTATGAAAACGCGCCAATCAGAGCACCAAACTTGGCTTGTGGAATGACTCCACAAGCTTTTCCGAAGACACAAACCGGAAAGCGCCATTTGCGACAGTTATCTTTCTTGCAACGTATTAATATATGCGTATGGCGCATGGGGGTAATTGCTGTATTGTATCGCTCTGTCGAGATTTGTTAAAAAAAAGAAAAGAGACCGAGAGTAACACTCCTTGTGTACAATATTAAAACACCGCAATATGACGGGACAAAAAGAGAAGGAGCACAAAGACAGCCTCGGTCCTGTGTGCTACTATTTTGTCCATCCTTGTGCGCTGAGTTAATAATGGCGTTCAACAACCAACTAGTCCAGCAATCCACTTTTTTACAGCTCGTTCTATACTTCGTCAGGCATGTGGGCAAAAGCTGTTGTCAAATGGCAACAATGATCGTACGCGTTATGCGGCCGGCGTGTGGTCATTCTAAAGCGTAGCTTTTATGGTGACTTCAGGACTCACAAACCTTTAACCCTGGTTGTAATCGTTCCATTGACTAGGTCGGCGAGCTGCAACCTGTAGAAACAAGAAACAAAGTTTGATTCTTGAAATACATGCTGCTAGAACGATTTTTAAGGCGCAGAGAAAGTTCGCCGTCGTTTTGAAGATGTACAGAATACCAAATCGCAAAATTCACTTCTTACTACAGCAGAGCAGCCGTAACACGCTTGATGTAAAGAACCTGCATTATAGGGAGTGACGAGCTGCTCCATCGAGATTACGTGTTTAATGGGCCACGTTCGCGATAGGAGCTCCGAGGAGCCGAAAGTTTCGATCATCAATGACCTTTCCACCTGATTTCCTCCTCGCCACGCGACAACGCGCGCATGCGCAGTTGCGATCAATCTCCCCAAGAGGAGTCCGCCATTGAATAGCAAACGCTCCTTATGGTTTCATATGTATCGTCTATAAATTCTAGGCTCTCAAGTTTGAAGCGACGCGATCAACATGGTACCCCCTGCGCTACTGTAAGGTGTTTTTCCCAGTTTTCTTTTATTGGAGCGGCATTTGTTAGTATTTTTTACGGCGAAATCGCTCGGCGTGTGTACGCAAAAACCGAGGTCACGTGAGCGAAGGTTGTGCTCTACCTCATCACCACCTGTCTATTTCTGTCATCCCACCGCCGTCACCCCTTGCACAAGCACCTCACTTATGCCAAGACGCGCCATCAGTCCCTCTCTCTCTCTCGCCTTATCACACTTCTCGCCGCCACCGCCCACACTACACGTTCCCCTACCCTAGCCACTCAGCTGTGTATTAAAATTTCGGCCGAAAATATAGTCTTACAGCGACTAAAAATAAATCTCATTAAATGCTTAATTTTCAAAAACGCAACTGCTACTCTGTCAGTCGTAGCAAGCCCTGCGTAAGCCATTGGAATTTTTCGGTATGTTTGTCATCGCACTTGCAGGCAATAGTTATTTTCTGTGTGCTACGAAGTTACACGCACCGGGAAGTCAAAGCGGGGGGCAAACAGACTTTGTGCCGTGATGTAGATCGGGTGTTGCTGCTTATCAGATGTACAATAGTGCAAGAGGACCGTATCACGGTTGGGCGGCAAGCCGTACATCGGAAAAACCGCGTGTTAAGAACTACAGATTACGGTTGTTAAAAACACTTAAATACAAAGTTCGCTACAAAATTGTAATAAGCTGTTTATGGAAAACAAGGACTCATAACTCCTAGATACAAAGTGTATATAGAAAAAGATGGGTAAACGCTTGTAGGGCATAACTTAAAATGAAGGCACCAATTGATCAGTAAAATTCCAAACGCGTACCCTAGGTGAATTCACTTCAGCTGTTTTTTTTTCTTTTATATAACTGAAATGGAAGACTCATAAGTGAGCAATTGATCTCAAATTACTTCCACAACTACCGCAACTTGCATGTCCAAAGGAAAAAAGTCGTCACCGTCCCATTGAAAATTTGTCTACATGTCCCACCAGGACTTCTGGAATGTTTCGACCTACCCTTTAAAGGGACGGCGAAACAATTTTTGTAGTTCGCGTTGACACCGCTTAGAATGAATACCCGACGATTAGGACCAAAGAAACACGGGTTCGTTTTTCTCCGCACGTCATAAACGTTGAAGAAAAAATTACAAAAAAACCGTACAGCGTTCACCCCTCAACTCTCCACCAGAACAATCAGCTACGTGTTCTGCAGCTGAATATATGCCTCCAATTTTGTTCATAACCACGCCCTGAGGTTCGCTAAGCACAGGACACGCACTGAGTTCTAGACATTTTAAGGGTCCTGCTTATTGTCATTGTCACGATTGGACACGAGACACTACTCTAATGCTTGTCGAGCTATTGATTATCACGACCCAAAACAACTGCTCAAGGAATGCTCGGGTTGAATCTATAAGCCGTATTCAAGTACCGTCAGCGGGGGACTGTTCTAACACTGCGACCACCCCCCACTAAGTCATCAAGTTTTGCGAAGGAGAGACTGAAAAAAAATTCTCGATTCATCCTTGAAATCACAAAGCAGCAAAGAGGTTTTTTGGCCAATGACGTTGCGTGCGAGTATATTTGAATACGGCTAGTGCCAGTAAACTGGTGTGTAATGAAAAACATTACGAATTAGTACCGTTGCGCCGCATCTTTAAGTATTTTTGAGGTATTTGAGATGTCCGTCGAATTTTCCTAGGGGGTCTGATGTGCTCGTCGAGAATTCCTGAAGGGTGTAAGAGACCGTCATAGATTTTTTTAAAGGACCATGGAGTCTGTCCCAGTTCTTTTCATCAAATCACAGCAGTAATCAAGACCGTTTTAACGGGTCTCAGGGAGAGATCCCGCGATACTTCATGTATATGCGTAGAGGAAGCCGATTCGCCATTTTTATCGAGTGGCCTTAACGAGTTGAGAAAATTAAGGAGACCTTCCCCCGTCCATATCTTTTCGTGAGCTCGGATAAAGCGGCGCCATCGCTGTGTCTGTCTGTTCTGTGTACATGATTTGAGGGATGGACAAGAGACGCCCAAGGTCGCCAACTCCTCGCTCACGAGGGAGAGAGAATGCATGGGAAAAATGGGACGGGGACTTCTGCTTGTTTGAAGGTAACCTGTTTTAGTCAGTAGAAATGCAGCCTTCGTCAGAAGCTAGTCGCCTTGTTTTCTTGTCCGCCAGCGAGCACAAACTAAATGCGGGACAAAGAGCGGAACGGGAAACCCCACCCTCAGTGTAGGGTTTTTCGTCCTATGCTTGGGGCCTATCTTCTAGCGCAGCTGGGTTTAAGGATCAAGGTCTCTCAGTGCCGTATTTCTTGTGCCTCCTCGTCCGTCCGGCTTCAGAAGCATCCAGCGAGCAAAGAGACGTCAGACACGCCACCGTGACGGCACCAAGGGACAGCACCGCAACTGTGCTCAGGATTCCTAAACTCGGGCGGATGAACGTTCCGCGTCCATGGTTTTCGCTAAACGCGCTACCGACCTTGTGTATCTGTGCGTGTGGTGTACCTGCTCGGTTTAATCAGTTGGACAATCGTACATATTAGGAATTTTCGCAGCGTCATTGAGATTACATCTAAGGACAATTTTTGTGACAAAAATCTCGTTCGTCCCTGATCGCTTTGGTCCACAGCTGCTTGTGCACGGGTTGGAATAAACGTTTGTTTTTATCATCTCTTTTCGGTTACAACATGCATGTAAAACTCGATATTTGAAATAAATTTCCAATAACGTTTTAAACAGTCATTTTTTTTCTATGATTCACAATCATTTGTGCGTCCAAGGGATTGAAGGGATGAGGAGGTCTGAAAGGCTGAAGGGGTTTGAATGGCTAAAGTGGTTTGGTAGTGCCTTAAATGATACTTTTCAGCAAGAATAGTCAGATAAATTTTGATATCCAGTGCGTTCGAACTATGCGCATTTTAATGTTAATATAATTGTTCTTACATTCTATGCATGCATTGTTTATTATTTCCATATTATTATCACCTGTAATATTCGAACTAACAGTGTATACAACTAAACCTCCTCAATAAGAATGTTTTTTTTTATTAATCATTGACTAATGAAAGTAAATATTTTGCACTATGATCGAAAAAAAATCCACGAAAGCTTTAAAGGGCATTAAAACGCTAAATAGATAAGTATTTAGCGTTTATGTTAAAAATTTTAAAATGTTACAAACACGAAACTTTACTGATATCTGTCACATCGCTTATTTCTCCAGTTGACAATGAACCAACTATCCCAACTACATGCCTTGCTGCTGTTATATTAGTTATGATGCAATATTGTACCGCAATACAAATTTAAAGTAGCTTTAAAGCCGAGGGCAAGTAGGATACATAAGATTAGAGAGATATTGTACCGCAAAAACGTTATGAAAGGTATTCATGCCCTGTAGAAAATACTATTTTCAGAAAAATATAACTAATGAAACACGCAGGATGAAGAAAAAAACCTAAAAAATGTTCAATGTTACCTCGTAAAGCTACAGAGTTAGTATCTACGGGTAAAGAGTCTTAAGTTGAACACCCGGGAGTACTAAAGCATGCAAAGTTTTTTTTTTTTTTTTTTTTTTTTAGCAGGACTGTTTTCCCCTTCCTTCCTAATTTCCAAAATTTTCCTCGTTCGTCCGTCCGTCCGTCCGTGCATTTTTTGCTTAACAAATGTAGTGGGGTAATCGGCGTCACGCTACATACACACCAATTCAGTTTCCTTGCTAAATTTAGCGGCGAAATTTCTGTAATGTGATCTATGCGCCAACAGTTTCCCCGGCAATATTAGAGACATCTTTGATAAAAAGTACCGCTACCTTGGAACGACAGTTTAATTTCTTCAGAACGCATTTAAATAATCGCCCCTTAAATACTGAATTTTATGCAAGATAGCACTTTCGAAACTAATATTGCTGCCAATTATTTTTATTAATTGAAGTCACGGCAACTTACAAGCCCCGAATCAGTGCCCAACTGATTAAACAAGCGAAAGAAGTAGTCACGACAAGCGACAGTAAGCAATTCAAGTTTAGATGAATTTTACATAAACACAAGGAAGGCTTGACGGGCATTGTGATCAACGATAACGGCGAAAATTAAAGTTCAATGACAAGAAAAAAATGGCGAATTTGTAGTTATGTAAATAAGAATATGTGGTGGTACATACTCATAAAAATGAATAAAAACAAAGTTACCATGAACGCCGCGTAATCAAAAAGATTTGAAATAAAGAACGGGGTGCTAAAATTGCCAGTGAGGCACCAGGAAAAGGTAATTTTGCAGCGACGGTGACATAGAGCAACGGACACTCGATTTTGAGATCTACCAAATAAACGAATGGCCTCACATCTGGCGGCCAAGACGTCGCTCGCCATGTTTAGTGGAGGTGTCACACTTGTTATGGTGCTAGAAACGGCCTAGTTTTCCCGATGAGCTGAGATCGGACGTAGGCTTAATTTGTGGTTGTGTGCTATTTCATGTTGGAGTCCATTGATAATCCGCGCTTCTTTTACACATCTCTAGCTGTTATTCTTCCGTCAATTGACTGACATTTGTATACCCGAGGAAGGATGAAAACATAGAGGCCTATCTATAACTTGTTACGTTCTCTGAGTTAAATTCAAACGTATATGAAATAAAAGTCCGTAAACTAAAGAAACTAGCTCAAGGAGAAATTTAGGGCACCTCATCTTCTGCACTAACAAGGCCAACTAAAGTGTTCTAATAATGCATATGTCTTTGGGTATCATGGCTTGTGCTTCGAAGGTATCTCTCTTCAGTTGATTCTTAAACTATATCAAGACTTTGGCAATGGAAAAAAGTTTCAGTGATAGTCTCGAACAAGTAAAGTGAGGTGCCACGCCGGTGAGGGCATCAGAGACGAGGCGCGGTGTATCAGCGTGGTAAGAATGACCCTGATACGCACATCTTACAAAAGCGAAAATACAATTTCACAGATCACACAGCCCAGGCAGTTCGAAATTTATAGACATGCTTGACAAACATTCGGTGACATCTATGAAGATCAAAATAGCGTACCCTGAAGCCGAAATTTTCGCTAAGAGCAAAAGAAGGACGCGACAAACTTAAGCAGAGAGGCCGTCCCACTGATTGGCCTTACTTTCACCGCGTTTCCTGCAAAACTAAACATGTTACGCTCTAAATTTCATACCCGGGGGGGGGGGGGGGGGGGGGGGGGGTTACTAAATGAATTCTGCCCGAAAATTATTTATCACCCGCACAAACATACGGTATTAGGCATGCCTGAAATTGCGTGAGCTTTTGAAGGGGAGTTTATGATGAAATCCGTATGACCTTGGCACCCCGGCCTTGCTGGCCCCGGTGGAAAGACCATTCCGAGGGAGCACGCACTGTCTTTGAGGTCATCACTACACAAAATTTGGCTGTTCAAGATCAAGACCCCAATTGCATTCGCTTTCTCTTTCAAACCGATCGAATTCCTGACGCGGTGTAGTGACTGGCGAATTGCAGAAGTGCTTGATTCAGAAGTGATTGCAGTCGAAGAACTCAAATGTCGCCGATACTTTTTATACTTGTCAACGAAGAAGTTGCTCTCGGCAGTATATTATTTTTGATGGCTATTCATTTCATTCACAGCAGTATATCATTTAGACTTTTTATTAGTGAAACTGTTTTAGTTCCAATTGTTTCTTTCCGCGGCACCTATTTATTTTTACCTAGTATTCACCCAGATCACATCCTCTTTCAATCTACTTTTACCCACTTTTTCGTTTGTTAGGTTTTCTTTTATTACCGAAGTGGCCTCGTTAATTTTCATCTGAACTATTTTTCTTCCTTCCATTTCTTTTTCTTTCAAATTTTACTTTATTAATTTTTTGTGCTGGAGATTGCAACGTCATTTATATTACGTTCTTGTTTTGTTTTGTTTTTCACTAAAGAAAAGGTTGCTAGTTAGCCTTTGTCCTATCTCATATTTTTAATGTGTCCTCGTCGTTTATGCTTTCTGCATGTTCCATGTTGAAGCGCAAAGCCCATCAAACTGTTGCTCCTTCCATCTGACGCTTTTCATATTTACTTTTATGTTTATCGGGCACCGAAAAGACATGTGAACGTGAGGTTAAATAAAATCACTTACCCTGTCACCAATAATACTATGTCTGCCGGTTCGTGTTGGTATCTATTTGCAAAGCGTGGAAGCGTTTCTCTTGATGACGTGTACAATTGGTAGGGATTACTTGGGTCATCTGGATCCACCCCAGAAATGGTCTTGAGGATGGAGGTCTACTTGAAAATGAAACATCAAGTGTTACCGAATTGGGAACGACTTGTATAGAACGTAAAAATAAGTTCTTGATAATGAACTTACCGAACCTACCATTACTTCTATTATGAGAAAAAATACTCTCGGGTTTTTCGAGTTTTGATATCTCAAGTTCACCTTGAAGAAACAAAAGGTAAATCATTGTAGCATGAGGCAAGCTTCCACTGCAACACGCAGTTTTTCACAAATATGAAATAAGTGTTGTTTTGATGCCTCCAGTCGCTATTGAACAAAAAGTAAGGGCGCAAACGAGCTGGTGTAGATTGCACATGGTTGAAAAAACCCCGAGACTGCGGGTAAAACGACACAACACTAAAAAGTCTCTAACACAGCCGAAATTTTTATTTTCCGAAATCTGGTTATATAGGCACTTCGAAATAAAAGAAAAAGTGCCTATATAACCAGATTTCCGAAAATAAAAATTTCAGCTGTGTTAGAGACTTTTTAGTGTTGTGTCGTTTTACCCGCAGTCTCGGGGTTTTTTCAACCATGTGCAGTCGCTATTGACTCAATTTTTTTTAGTAATGCTTACTTAAAATATCTGTATCAAAACCGAATACGTGACAAAAACAACAAGGTGCCTCTTTCTTGGTGCGCACTCGTGTGAATTCCCTTGCCAGCGGCTTCATAACCCGTGCGAAAAAAATCAGCAGCGTGGCTTTCTGTTTTCAATGTTTCCATGGGCAGTCGGGTTGGTAATAAAACAAATTTGCTCAAGCGATCGACACCCTAAGTGGGGAAATATCCACACGCCGTGCTGTGTTGTAGAGAAGATAGCAAGCGCCAGAGTAGTCAAACCCAGAGTAACTATCAAACCGTTCTTAAATTTTCTCACTGCTGCTCTACGTGTGGTCCTTTTGCTCGCCGGGCTATCAGTCGTTTCTGATAATCTTTGTTTACTAATGGCTGTGCCTTGTATAGCCAGGTTGCGTTTTAGAAAAAAATGAATTGCCTATTGCACGCCGCTATTACTTTGCGATCATCGTGGTATCATGGAAGCATGTAATTATAATTTCATCAAACATTCATTTGGTAAAAACAAAGATAACCACAATCTATCAATGAACAAAGTGTTTTATATTTCGACTCAGTGAATACGAAATAAATGTGGCACGCGTGATTAAGAGAATAGTAAAAAATGTACTATGCGGGCTCTATCGTCACTTTATTTTAATATATATATATATATATATATATATATTATGCGGAAACCACTCATCGCAGCAAAAAAAGGCTTGTGCCGTATTGGTCCTGGTCAAAGAGCCCGTTTAGGAAATTTATAAAAGTCCGGGATAATTAAGTTTGTTATTTTTCCGTAATTAACTTTTAAATGTTGTGTTTAAGGGCATGGTTTCAATTATAAAATTGCTAAGCGTCATCGAAAATCAATAAACCAACAAATTACAGAATGATAGAAGGCACGCGCAGCATTTTAGGGCTTTCTGAAAAAATCGCACAAATTCGACGGGTTTTTAAGTTTCGGTTTGCAACGGAGCGTATCTCGACCCCGACAGCGCCGCGCCCCGTGGAGAAATAGTGCAACAAGCCTCTGCAGCGTTCCGCGAGGACATCGCAGCAGAGTTTGGTTGCACTATTTCTCCACGGGGCACGGTACCGTCGGGGCCGAGATGCGCTCCGATAGCAAACCGGAACTTAAAAGCTTGTCGAATTTGTGCTGTTTTTCAGAAAGCCGTAAAATGCTGCGCGTGCTTTCTATCGTTCTGTAATTTGTTGATTTAGTGTTTTTCGATGATGCTGAGCAATTTTATATGTGAACCATGCCCTTAAACACAATATTAGAAAAGTAAATTACGCAAGAATAATTAACAATCTAATTATCCTGGACTTCAATAATTTTCCTAACTAGGCCCCTGGCCCAGAACAACAACAACACAAAAAATTTTTCGTTGCGACGCGTAGTGTTCGCAGTATCGAATCTGTCCACTTATCGTGAAACACCGTGTATATATATATATATATATATATATATATATATATATATATATATATATATATATATACCGTCCATTGTTGCTGGTTCACCAAGGGTTTTCGTTTCTTCTCAGTTATATAGGTAGTTATATCTTCCTATTTCTGTTTGATTAGGTGCTCACTCAGAAAAGGGAAACGGATGTTCGAAAGGGAGGAAATATGGTTTAGCAGCCAAAAGAATTGGCCGGGACGGCAACACTCCCCTGACCCTGAGGTTCGTAACCGACACTCTGCATGCCCGATGGTTGCCTTCCACATAACAACACCAGTTCTCTAAAGATTGGCCACCCCCCCCCCCCTCCCCACGTAAAATTCTTACACCCCGTAGGACCCGTGACCACCCCACGCGGCGCCCCTGCAGGAGAGAGACGAAAGTGACTCATCAACTGCCTAGACGAATGGGTCTTTCATTATGTGGAGACTGCACATGACTGCAGCGAGCATCAAGGCAGTGGAAAACAGCCCGAGAAGTGACGGTGTGTCGGTGAATTTCTCCTCTTCTCATTGAGGCGTGATTGTGACCAGTGCCTTGAATCCACATGTGCACTTGGCATAGCAAGGTGGAAAACGAACAAACGCCGGGTACTGCATATCTCATTGGGTGACAGCGTAGCACGTCCTTCGGAAATCTGAACTGATGTGCAGTAAAAAGTGCCTGTAAAATTGCCGCATAAATTTGTTTTTTAAGAAGAGTACTGTGCGTGTGCAGGTCTTTCTTACATAGCAGCGAAAGCTCCAACTATGGTTTGTGTACTCAAGGGATTCGCGCTAGCTTTCCTACGGCATAAGAATGAAAATAAAAGAGTTCCTGAGTGCATTTGATCTCGCAACGCCTTCCGCCAAAACAGTGTTTCGTGAATTTGGTTAGCAGACCTTGTTTCCTGGCAGGTGCATTCAGTGTGTGCATTTTATTTAGTATAATCTGCTTCAACACTAATGCTACACGCCGCTCCAATAGTACACAGACGCAAACCTTTCCCCCAAACTCCCAGCCGCTTCACACTTTTTGTGCGAGAAGAATAGTAGATTTGGGCCTGAAGAGACGCAAGCGAGCACGAATTCTCAGCACGTAGTTCGGCTTTGCCCCAGAAATGTGGTTGGTAGGGCAAAGACCTATTCAGAATGATTCATTCATAGGCATTCCTATATTATTTCTTCCAATCTGTCAGGGCGGAGCGTGTGCATCTGCCGTTTGGTGTCGTCCTTGTGTGGAAAAGGTACAGTGCGCCTCAAACTTATCACCACCACAGCATTTGCCTTACCTGACAGTCCCTGCGGCCGCAGATTAAACTATCTGAAGAATATTTTGATTCCCGATTTCTATCCCATCCTGAGAAGGGATCCCGAATGTTGTGTTGAGAAATTTAATAAGTAGCCAACACGAGCTCAGTGTTTGGGAACCCAGTGGCGGCGTTAATTTTGGGGTCCACTGTATATTGTGTGTGCTGCTCTTATGTATGTTGAAGTCTTCAACCATACGGGCAGTTTGTGATGAAAGCAGGTGACCTACTAAACATTCTCTGTTGAGTTAGAGCGAGAAAAGGAAAATTAACTAATGGTCAGGTTGTTCTGGTCGATTATACGTTCGATATCGTGGGGTATCATAGACGGTGACGTAAATATAAACATTTCGGCGGAACTCCGCCTGGTTAGATAAGTAATAAGAAAAAGTACAACGTAGACTCTAACCAATTTCTTCAATGTGCCCGACGTTTCGAAGCCAGCTCGGCTCCTTGTTCACGGGTGACGGTATATGGGCCCAAAGGTAGCAACAGAAGAAGAAAACAAAGCTAAGAGAGAAGAAAACGATGACAGGTTGCTACCTTTGGGCTCATATACAGTCACCCGTGAACAAGGAGCCGAGCTGGCTTCGAAACGTCGGGCACATTGAAGAAATTGGTTAGAGTCTACGTTATACTTTTTCTTAGACGGTGACGTCCTTATCCAAATCAAAGCTTGTCGGTTGTAAACACAGAAACAAGGAATATATGACGAACTATTTGCGGTATCAGATTAGTGTGGTGGGATCGGAATGCCTATGTCCAGGACCTGCGAAGGGTTCAAATATGAAATTGGTGGTTTTTTGGGAAATGACAGAATTTTACTGGAATGTCGCCCTTTCGTAAAGGGGCGAAAGACTTTGGCGGCAAAGCACATCTCAACCCTTATCTCTCAAAGGTACTAAATCTTCTCTCCGGAGTAATAAAATGTAATTAAAAATTTAATATTCGATGCCTTTTGTCTTGCATTTACTGCTGCAGGAATGCGCCTGTGGCGTTGTCAGACGCGTCGACAATGGCGGAAATTGGTGCATAGCATTGTGCCGGAGTGAACAACGTCGTTTTATAAAGTGCCCTTTTGATTGCCTCAAGTGCTGGATTTGCTAGTTTTGTTCAAGTGACTTGTTGATCGTTATTGCGCAGCAAGAATATGTTTAACTGGCATATAGGGCTGCGAAGCGCAAAATCAGACGACGATAAGACTTTAAAATCTCTAAAAACTCTATGAGATTCTTGATACCAAGAAGTTGAAGATGCTTCTCGATCACCTGATGTCGACACGGCAATGAACTGATGTCAAGGGGAATGATTTGATGCGCCAAAGACAATAGTTGTACGACGCTGCACTCGGATTTTGCCAGGTCAATCACAAAGTTGTACTCGCTCTTACAAACGGAATGTAGGTAGAAATTAAGCAAACGTTCTCCGTGGTTGTCCCCCCCCCCCCCCCCCCCCCCCAAAAAAAAAAAGAAGAAATGGTCTCACTAAGCAAATTCAACCAGAAATTAAGATATTCTCTCAAATCTTTGGAACTTTATATTTTAGGCCATACCGCATTTCGGTGTATTCCGTTATGCCAAAAAATGCTTTTAGAGCAGTTTTTGGTATTTAGCAAACTTGATTGCATACTTTGACCACAATTTAGTCTTCTGAATCTTGAAGATGTGGAATGAATTTTCAGTCTGTCACTGTCACGTTCTTGAGAGCGCGGAATTTGTTGCCTGGTATCCAATCGCAATTTTGGCAACATTTGAAGTGCTGCTGAACAAACACTTAATTGAAACTCCACCGATTTCTTCATAGTCTTCGATTTGACTGAAAATAGGTAGACCGCATCGATAGCAATTTATAAACTACGAGCTAAAACATTTCCGTGGAGTAATTAGCTTTTTATGACGCCGGTCGCGTAAGCTCCACCACGCGACTAAAAACGTTGAAAACTTTCTACGTATATTTGTGAGACCCACCGGGCTTCCACATATATAGCGTCTGCCCTGTTGTCTTGTTTGTCCTCGCTTTTTCGAGCTTTTTAAGCCCTTTATTAACATGGACCAAGTAGACAAAACCCCAGTTTTCTTCCCACCTCAGCATTGCACAGGTCGCGGAAATTAAGCCTTCCCACTCTATACCCTCGTTGGACCAACGTGGGTTTCATAGGGGTCGCCCCAGCCCCCATTGCCCATGTGCGATCCCCGTGGGCCAACCCGGTTGCGCTACCTGGATTTCGTTAATACGAGAATTCAACACTAAAGGCTTGTTATGTAGGCGACATTGATCTATTATAACACCGTTAGCTGGATAGCATGACGCGGTTAATATAATCGAGGCAAGCCGACGTTCGCTCCTTTTCTTCTTGTTTTTATCGGTTTTTTTTTGAGCGAACGCGCGAGTAGAAACACCAAATTACTATGCCGGTTTCTTTCGGCAATCTGGTGCCGACGTTAAGGCCTGAGGTGCTTCTTTAAATACGCCAAGTTCCCGCCACACACACCTGCTTTTGAGGAAGCTCCGACATGACTGCCGACCAAGCTTCAGGGTAATTGACTTAATTCAATTTTATCATAATTTAATTAGTTTTAAGATAGGAATTGTTAAGTTTAAATTCGAATAACTGGCGTTTCCCATTTTACACCGTAATAGTTAATATCTACGCAAAAAAAAACGTAATAAATCTTTGTTTTGTTACATCTCAATTTCCTCCCATAAATAAGATGTCATTGGGGACTATAAAGAAATAAATTAACGAATGTCGCTACCTTATTGCTAAGCCACAAAATTGGCAAAAGAAAAGTATGTATTATATTTCATGTTAAGGACTATCGATGTTAAACTTGTACAGCGTGGACAATTTATGCTATATATTCATCAATCCGTATATTCGTACCACGGCTATGGTAGTAGCCATATATGATATCACCTCTTCAAGGGTACTAAAATGTCTGAAATGGTACCCGTCGACGACAATCTTCAGTTCAACCAAAAACGGGTCTGGCATTTTCGTGTTATTTTGAGTCTCTGGAAAGGCAAAAAGGAAGTGTTTTACAGAGTTCGATTCTACAGTATTGTCCGGTCCATATCCGGTGTATGATGCACAGGCGCATACTTTGGTGGCGAAAAATTGTTTTTCTTGCTCAGTTTGCACTTGCTGCATAGCGTCCGGCGCACAGTCCGTACCTAGTTTTTTCTCCGTAAGTAGAAAGTCTCAACACCAGAACATTTAGAAAATACAGACTTCCGCATTAGCTCCCAAGCACGCTTGTATCATTCATAAATCACCATTAACCTACGCTCACATTCCCAAAATTTGAACCATTTTGTCATAATGAAAGCTTTACAAATACAAATCCTGCTATAGTTCGTGCCGGTAGATAGGCCACACAACATTAACAACTTTTAACCAAGTATAGTCCATACACTACATTTAGGAAAATAGAAGGAACTCCTATTTAGTATTGTATTTTATATGTAATAGATAATTAACTAAAACAAAGCTACAGAAGCGTCGTATGAAATTCTAGTATCTCAAACATAATTTTAATATATTAGCGAATATTAAGTGTCTAAAATAATACCAAAAAATTTTGATGTATAGCAACAAACAAAAAATCAGGCTACTTTTTTTTTAAATAATTGACAACTCACGTGGCAAAGGCACTTGATGCGAAATGCGTAGTTTTAAGGTCTGTCTTTAATTTCTCACAAAGAAGAAAAGAAAAATCGGCAATCGCTTGTTCGCGCTTACTCTGCTGCACCTTACTATGGCACCTGGAGCGCGTCTCCGACTGGTGTGTTTAGCGTCCTATCCCGCCCATACATCAAAAGTGGTCCCCAAGTGGCCACAAATGACGTCACAGAAGCCAGAGTGTCATGCTGTTGCGTGTCGCGATCCTGGCGGTTGGTCGTAGAAATGCTGGCGAAAACCACAGGTGAACGCGAGTGTCGCTGTCATCACGGCGTTCCAGGCGTCCCAACTTCCGGCTGCCCTAGCTTCCGTGGACTGCCGCATCGGAGAGCGACCTCCAGCAGAACAGGCGTCTGCCACATACACCACAGCTATTGGGACGCCGCCAGGTTCGCGACCGGCGACAGCATGGAACTTCTATGACGTCATCAAGTGGAAATCGAGGGAGCACTTTTCCGGACCCGGTAAACACACCGGTCGGAGACGCGGTCCAGGCACCGTACCTTTACAGATATCACAGAGCACGAAATCGGAATTTTAGGCTGCGAGAATTACTTGTTCTTCATATTATATAAATATATGAAGAACGCGTAATTCTCGCAGCCTACGATTCTGATTTCGTGCTCTGTTTGCCCACTATGCCCGTTGTTTTCTCCAAGGGTTTTTTTCTTCTCAGTTATATATCTATATAGGCGGCGCGTACTCATACTTTAAAAAAATGCCATGCGTGTATGCGTCATTGGAGTTCTTACTTACGTTTAGGCGCTGCAGGGGGAGCTCGTGCTTCAGGGAGTGGATTAGATGGTACTGCAAAATACCAGAAATTGTTGTGATAACCGTTTTCGTGAAAATCCTGCAAAACATATCACTACATGTTTGCCCTCTCCATTAAAGGCTAGCTTATTCCTCCTACAATATATTATTCTTAAAATTGAAACAATAAACACGAAGTAAGAGGAAAAGAAAACAACGCTCTTTAATTTAGCGACGACGTCTGACTATGGAAACAAAAATTCGCGCTGTTCCCGAGATTACCCTGATGCGTGGACGTTTAAGAGAGTGCAAAAAGAGGAGGGAAACCGGTAAATGAAGAGGAAGTGACCAGGAGGGCAAGGGCAGAGGATCCATGAGTGTCCGATTTGTAAAGGTAGTCGCACATTCTTTCCGGTTCCGGCCTAAAAAATGTCGCTTTACATTTTGATAGAGTTAATTATGCCGATGAGACATTCTTTGTTGCGTTCTCAATGAGGTATGACTTGATGATTTCGCGTCCATTGCAGTCTATGTCTACCTGCTTCGTTTTGGCGATGTCAGGTTCGCACCCGAAGCACTTTTTTGTGTGAACTGCGTTCAGATGACTTGGCTTCTCTGTTCTTAATATGACCTCGTTTTTTTTGTTCCCACATGCGATCGTTTTGGCACTTGCCCCATTGTCTGATGTATTTGGTTCCGCACTTGAGGAGCACCGAGTACACTTTTTCTGTGCCGCATGGCCGGAATTGCGTGGAGTCGTTTGTTATCGAGAAAGCAAAACAAAAGTATCATCGGCAACCCTAACTCTATTATTAGCTTTACCACGAGTGTTCTTTTCTTGCGTTTTAAATTGACAAGCATGTGCAACACGACCAAAACAATTAAATATATGTTTGGCGGAGCAGAAGACGGCAGCAACAAGATCTGGGATTTTCCCAAGCAGGGAACAGCTTAGGGCCAAAGAGCACTTCAATAAAAACCTTACAATTATTGTCAGGCATGGGACCTTATATCACAACACCTTCGCTGGCAACCTGGTCCTTTCAGGACGATGATGAGCTCTCGCTCACAGGAGAAGCCATCGTGCCCCACCCTGTTAACGATTTGATCGACCCTAATATTCGACCTTACACTTTATCTGCCATTGACATTCCACTGGGCGCTTTCCGCCTTCAGACCGTCGAGGAGCTCAGGGACCGCGACGCGGCCCTCTTGGAATTTGTATCGAACTTGTTCAAGTGAATATCGGCTGCACTCCTGATGGTCTGCTAGAGCTGGTCCAGCGAGGACTTTCACAAGCAAGTCCAAAAGATCTTCCGTTGGTAAAAGGGGTAACATATCCCGCGCCCACCATTTCTGCGATCATCCTGTGTTGACGGCACGGACACATAATCTCCCTTTTTCAGCACAGTTCAAAATTCTTGATAAAGGCAACTACTGGACCGAGAAGCAGAAGGCGCCAGAACTTGCAGTCAAGCTCAGCGGTCAGTGCAAGCCCTCCAGACCATACCGCCAGAATGTCATGAGTTTCGCACCTTGGTGTTTCAGGCGCTAGAAGAACGCTTTGACAATAAACGTGAACGTCACATTCATCACGTTGAGTTACGTCATCGACGATAAGCATCTGGTGAAATGTTGTTCCGATTCACTGACAACATCAAGCGTCTAGCGCGCTTGTCGTGTGTCGGGTTTTTCGAGCACATTGTGGATGCTGTCAGCACTAAGGCGTTCACTGATGAAAGTGCTCCTGTAGAGATCCAAGATGACGTGTGTCTTTTCCATCCCAGCACATTTGGGTCCGCTCATATCTATGAAATGAAGGCCACTCGCAAGGCATGACGGTAGACAACCACTCATCAGTCTGCGGCTACCCTCCATACAATGACTTGGGGGAGTTTTGAACAAGAAGGGCATGGCAGAACAGAGTATCTTGTTGCATCTCAAGAAGTACAACCAAGAACTGCTCTATGAAAAAACGTTACACCAGCTATCTTGCGACACCGGTGTTCGGCTGACCTCTGCGCTCACGTGATTCTACTATACTAGATTGCTTCCTCACGCCTTCAAGATGATGACCCTGTCTACCTAAAGAAACATTGAATTTCGCTTTTTTTACCGACATTCACTTCTAGCGACACCATTTACAGGAAATAAAATCTGGTCACAGATCGTGTCATAACCGGTGACGCTGCGCCCATTTGACAGCCTCCACGCCGGGTGCCGCTGTCTAAGCACACTCATGTAAATTACCTTGTCTAAGAAATGCTCACTCAAGGTTTCATTGAGCCGGTTCATGAACCCTAGTCATCGCCAATCACCATAGAAGAAAAGGATGGATCAACTTGAATTTGCGTTACATTCGCGTCACAATTACATTAAATTATGGTGCCCTCAGTGGGGCCTGTGCGCCTCTCTTAAGGACTCACACAAAAAAGCGCACGTTCCGTTGCGAGAATGTATAATTGGACAAGGTTTTCAACAGGTCCAAGATAAGTTAAGAATCATTTGAGGCACTCTAGCATGCATTAACATCGCCCACTGCGCTGGCTTACCTAGGAGATTACGCACTATTTATTCCTGATACAAAGGCAAGCAACACTGCGGCCGGTGGCATTCTAGCTAAAAAAGCATGGTGTCACGCGAGTCATCGGGTACTACAGCAAAACCATCCCTATACTTGAACGCAACTATAGCACCACAAGACGCAAGTCTCTTGCTATAGTCAAGGCGCTTTCTAATTTAAATCTCTACTTGTGCTGTTGGAAACGCATCATTCGCGCTGATCACGCGGTTTTGCCATGGTTGCTTGGTTTCAAGGCGCCAGAAGATCAAGTAGCTTTCTGGCTACAACAACTCCACTAGTACAACTTAAATACCACGCATTATGCCGGATCACATCACAGCAGCGGTGATGCTCTAAACAAACGAACAATACTGAAGGCTCCTGTCAACCGTTCTTGAGCATGGTTCGCCGTGATTCGGCCCCGAAAGACACCTTCTACCATGTAACCATATCTAACAATATGTGGTCGCCTCGAGCGGCGCAAGAAACTGAGTTGCGCAATCTTACTGTTGGAGTATGTGTCCAGTAGAAGCGAAGCGGTCGCCAATCACCAAATACCGATATTTTGCACCTTTCTCTATTCGTCTCGAGCTATTGGGCTCACTGGCATATTATGGAGTCTGACAACGAACCTCTGAATCGCCGCCAAGAGCCACCTACTGGTGACCCAAACATGTTGCAAAGTGGACTACCCATGTCGTGCGCCGATATCTTTAAACAGCTTTACAGCGGTTCCAAAAGAGACCATTTCGGCGGGAATTGTACTCTTGGTAAGATATACGATCGCGTTTACTGGCCCCATTCTCACAATTACATTAAATTATGGTTCCCTCAGTGGGGCCTGTGCGCCTCTCGTAAGGACGCACACAAAAAAGCGCACGTTCCGTTGCGAGAATGTATAATTGGAGTACGATTTGAATGTATCGCCATTGATGTTTTTGGCTCATTATCTTGATGAGAAAATGAAGACCACGATCTTCTTATTATTGTAGACTATTTTTTTTAATGGGTCAGGAGCCACCGCCATTCCTGATCAGGCTGCCCTTGTGGTGGTGGTTGCTCAGGTGTCACTGGATATCTCGGCACTGCGCACCCTTGTCGCGGCACGCCGACCAAGGCGGGAACTTTGACTGCAAAGTATTTTAGGATGTTTTTCTACAGTTTAACGTCACCAAGACAACAACGAGGCCACCGCATTTCCAGTTCAATGGACTGTTAAAGCGTGTTAATCGCAAAATACTGCAACATTTGGCAACATTAGGGCCTTGGTGGCTGTTTGTCAACAGGCACGAAGACGACTTGGACAACGCTGTTTATTGTTTTTGTACTCCTATCAAATCGCGGTTTATAAAGTCACCGGGTATACCCACGCTTTGATTCTCTCTCGCAGAAAAATTCGAATGTCGTGCGGCCTCGCCTTCTCAAGACCACCAGACCGTCCCTCTCAACCCGAATAGTGCATTTATGGCATGACCATGCGTCTTGAACAGACCTATGACTTTGTCAGAATCAGCTTGTTTATCGTTTTCCAGCGCTTAAGGCATGCCATAACTAGCAGAACACGCATGAACAACTTAAACCGGGTCGCAGAGTGGGACTGTAGATTCCACTACGGCAACAAAAAACTTAACCAAAGCTCCAGTGAAACTTGTCAAGGTCCATTCCCGTGCAAACCACAAGACTCGTCCCCGCTTATTTTAGGTACACGGGAATTGTCTTGCTCGCTACGAGGGCCGATTATTATAAATGAGAATCAGAAGTTGTTATTGTTTGGGGAGGGCGGGGGGAAAGCGTGACGGGTCTGGGAGGAAGAAGAGCAAGAGGTCACACCGGAAACAAGCAGCGAACACCTTGGGGCCAAAGAGTGCCTAATTAAAAGGATTACAATAGCTATGGTAGCTCACCAATGTAGTCGTATCCATATTGAGCTGATGTCTCAATCTGAAAAAGCTTGTGCGCAATAGGTCCATTTCCCGACCGTGCAACAAGATCAAGTGGGATTATTCTAAGCCTTTCGCCAACGATGCCTCTCTGCAAATAAAACCAATTATTATAAGCGTTGTTTCTTGTAAATCTAACCCATCCCCAAAGTTTTTCTCACTCGCGTTACAAAACTCAAGAAACAAGCAACAAACAGCTAGATAATACGTATAAGGACAAAACAAGGACACAAGGCCAAATATAAAACACACACAAACACCGCGCTTCCAGTTGTCCCTGTGGCTGTTTATGCACTGTTTTGTTCATTTTTATTGCGTAGTCGTTTGCTTAACTAGGACCTTGCTACAAGATCAAGCTTTCTACATTATAGATGCGTTTAGTGAGTTTCCTTTGCGCAGGGATCTGAATTTCTATTTACTTGAAAGAAAGCTACCAAATGCAATTAAAGCTACATCAATCTAGAAGATAGAGACTGCGACCCCCAATAAAAACAAATCGTGTCAAATTACAAAGTGACAAAGTTGCGGAGTGTTTGGTCTTTTTTAAGACAAAGGTTGAATCAAATGGTCATTCAAAATAAACTACTTCCAAAGATACCTGCACGCAGAGCTGCGAGCGCTGCATTATGGGACTAATTCGGGCATAAATAGGAATGCCAGTGCTGTGGTTTCGTTTGGATTGCCCTACTTAGAATGTAGTGCATCTCATTCATTTTCGTGATAGCCGCTGTTTAAACACGGAGCTTCACCGGCCGTAAGGACCCGACAAGGTTTATCGAAGAGGGGCACGGCCGGTCATGTCCCATACATTTTTCGAGGTCTGGTTTTTTTAAGGTCCGCATTCATGGGTCTGGAGGACCCATGAATGCAACATGACTCTCCCGGCTCACTAATCATTTAAAAAACCTAGGACCATGACCTACTCTTCTAACCCAGAACATTGAGACAATGAAACCGGATGACCAGCCAGACTTGTACCGTACGCATTACAAGTAATCAAATTACTTGTAATCGATTACGTTTTGAAGTAATTTTGTAATCAGTTGATTACTTTTATTAGGCAGTAATCACAAGAGTAATCTGATTACTTTTTGAAGTAATAAAATTACTTGTAACGGTTACAATTTGTCCACGGGACCCCCCCCCCCCCCTCCCCCGGCACACGCCTTTTTTTTTTATGAAATGACAAAAATAATTTTTTTTTTCGAACGGAAAAAAAAAAGATTTTCGCGGAGCTGTACGAAACGAGGTCAATCTCTTTCTATGTACAGTTTCTGTGGAATGTCCGTTTTTTTTTTTTTTTTTGTTTTTTTTTCGAGCTGGGACTGGGAGTGGGAAGCCACAGTGTGTGACAAAGGCCATTCAGGGCGAAGTTTGAGGAAGCAGAATGTAGCTTCGTGAGTCCTTCGTTCAAACTAGCCCCCTCACGCACACACACACAGAAATAAAAAAAAATAAAAAATCCTGCTTAGGCTACCTACTCGCAGCCCGTAGGAGAACCAGAACCGAAGAATGCCTAAAGCGGATGCAAAATATAACAAAGGCAGTTAAAATATTTTCCCATTTCCCCTACGTGGTCTTTGTGCCAAGCAATGTTTCGAGTTGAGAAGTGGTCGGGGCGATCTCTTCCGCTAATGGATACCACACATGATCCGTTTCAAATCCTAGATCTGCTGCTCTTTTGTATAACATGCGAGCTCATCCACATGTGAATAATAAAATGAGCGACGCAAACTTTGAGCGACAACCCTTGCTCAAGCTTAACAGGATCTAGAACCCCCTCCGCTCCCCCCCCCCCCCCCCACACACACACACACTGGCGAACGCCCAAATCATTAAACGTCTTCAAACGAGTTCTATGCTTGTGTCCGCATTGTGAAGGTGCAACGATCACGAAGGGGGAGCCAGTTTTTGTTCTTCAATACTTGTGCAAATGTGAAATATAGGTTGAAAGTAGGTCGTTGTTATGAGCGCTAAAGATGTGTCTTCACACAATAAAGTAATCGGAAAAGTAACGATTACTTCTTTAAGTAATGTCCAATTACTTTTGCCGTCGAGTAATCAAGTAATCTAATCGAATACTTTTTAGCCAAGAGTAATAGTAATTGTAATCGATTACTTTTTTTTAGTAACGTGTACAAGACTGTGACCAGCCTGGTATACTTCTTCTATTAGCTATCGTAGGCCTACGTTTTCCTGCTCACGAACTCTGGCATGTCGGGGGCCCAAAAAGAAACGAGCTTCAGCATTATATTTGTACTGGTCGTCAACACATACAGTACTATAAATATAAAGGAAGTCACGTAGTCGAAAACGCATGCACTGTATTTTGTCGTAACAGGATGTCGTAAATTGAGGTTGGCAAATGGATACCGAAACCGGGACCCCAAAATGCTTTGAGAAATACTACACAGCTAGGATCGATTCAATTTGGCAAGAGGTCTATTGTTTTCCCGGTGCTCGTTTCTATGCTAGGGAATTCAATCAATGGAGAATACCTTTGGTATTATAGAGCCATTAAACGTCTTTCAGAAACATAAGATGTTCACAAAAAAAAGTTCGTTGCGTATGTGTTTCAATTGGCTCATCTCCTGTTATTTCATCACTTATAGAAAGAGGGTGTTTCTCTTTAAGCTTTTACGAATTTGTTTAATTAAATTCGTGATAGCTAAACTAATGCTGTTTCTGCATTTGAGATATACCGAAGGGTGACATGGTATAAGGTGCTCACCATAATGATACATCGGTTAATTAACTAATATATGTTGATTAACCATATAAATTTTGAGAATAAACACAAGGTTCTAAATATAAATTTGCTGAGCGTCATCAAAATCCACCAGATCAATCAATAGTATAAATACTTGGAACACGTGGGAAGCACGGTGGGGCGCCAAAATTACCACTCGTACAGCAGGAGCAGGGCTGCCGGTGGAACAACGCGTCAGCGCGGTTTTTTGGTCTCTTTATCATCCGTATTTTATCACCGTTAGCTTCGCGCTTGTTGAACGAATGGGAACTTTACCGCACAGCTGCTCTTCCCATAGGCTCAAAGCTCTTCCAAACATTCTTGATATAGCGGTTTTCCATGAGGCTCAAAAAGTCTCTAATTGAAGACCTGCATTTATTTTCACTACTACACATTTTTACTAAGATATGTTATTTAATCATTTCAGTTATCGGGAAAATATCCTTCTACGCTATGTCCTCATGGCCGTGTGACTCTTCTGCACAAACCGAATTAGTTTAGATTAAACGGCTTTTGTTTTAAACAAATCTGTAACGTCAAGCAAAATTAAAACTGCAAGTGACTGTTTCACGGCTATCATGTCAAATGCTCTCTCCCGTTGCGTTCAGATATTATGTAGTGTAATTTATCAAGACATTATGTTTAACACTTTGCTAGAACATATTGACGCCCTCCAATATCACAAGCTCACCACAAAAAGGGATCAGAATATATCGCCACCTGCTAGCTGTGAGAAGCTATACTTTCGGTCATTCGTGTCAGTGGTTATGTTTGGTAAGAGGTCATACTGCTCGGGACATTTCGTCCAATTTGAGTGGCACACATCTGCGTAGTCTAAACAAAAGGAGCGATCCATGTGAGCTATAGCATTAAGAATTTTTGGCCACACTGATTATAATTGAAACTTTCGTAAAAAAGACTTTTCTTAATCTGAACTAGGTACTTAAAGTCAAGCTGCTGGAGAGAAACAGACGAATGTAGACTATCTGCGAAAACTCAGGAGTCCAGAAAACGAGATCCAGTTCCCCATTTTAAATAAATGTTGCGAAGTTGCGAATCGTGCGAATGATGCCAGGTAATCGCTCAGGTTTGGTTCATCAGCCAGGGACTCAAATGTGGCACCTGGGCTACGTGCACAGCGGGTGTTTATAAAGTTTTCGGGAAGTCCACAAACTATGAGCTCGCCACCGAACCTTAGCTCTCGTTAAGCGTGCAGTAAAAAGGAAAGACGTAGGCCCCCTACATCAGGGGCGTCCTCTCCCTGGTTGAGCTCCTAAATGTGTTGCGTCAGAGTCTGCCAAAACGTAATACCGTCTCGAATGTATTAAAGAAGGGGTTTTAGTTATTTGTTTGTGGTAAAAATAAACGCTTTGAAGCGATTGTCGAAAAAAGTTTTAAATTTCAAAAAGTGAAGATTTGTCGCGCTTTATGTTCTTCGCTCAATTTAAACAACCGGCAACGCTTATATCTAGGCATCGGTAAAATCGACTATAGCTGAGATCCTCAGAAGTTATATTCACGAGATGGTTTGTGAAGAAAATGTAGTGTTATAATTTTCCGCTCGAACTAAGCGCACTGATTAGTTCCCCTAAAATAAGTTGTCAAAGTGAAAGTTGTGCAAGCAATGCAGAATCGAAAACCCCCTGCACCACCGTAGCAAGGTCACCGCAAGACAGCTGAGCCATTGATTTAGACGCAGCTAGGTCCATCCAACCTTTGCCGCGACATCCCCTTCATTTGCACATTGAGGGCCACCGTCCTTCGGCGACTCTTGTCAGAATGCCACCAGTGTGCAACTACGGCGACACCCTAGTACAGGTTCAGTGGAACTGCCAATAGAATCGCAGAGAGCTCCCATTCATCGATCTGTACGACGCAACGCACTCTACTCCTCGCTGCAATGGTCAAATGTGAGAAACGCTATGCTCTCCTTTACTCGGGACGGAAGGACGCCTGCGGCGTCACACGTTTACTTACGTAGGGTAATGCCACAGGTTTACCTCTCGACTTTTCCTTACACCGAATGATAGACATCGTTAAGTAACAGACGGGAAAGCAGGAGAATAATGTTATTCGCCCGGGTTGGGGCGGAGCATTTCTGAAGACATTGGGTGCGCTCTAGAAATTTGGGACATCTTATTTAAAAAACAAATAGTGTCCGCTTAAAACTAAAATTTAGGGCAAAAACAATTTGTTTTATAATGATAGTAAAAGTACAATAAAAGCAATTCTGTAATAATTTAGTTACCTGTAAGAATTCAACAAAACTTGCTCGTTCCCCTGAACACTAGGAGAGTAGACTGTTGGGCTAGTTGGTTTTGGAACTTGGAATACATTTTAGC